AAGGATTTTTTTTTGTTGCTTCTGTACTTAGAGCTATGCACACCAAATCACTACGATATTGAATAGTTATTATAAGAAGTCAAATAAATACCTTACCTGAATGACATAGGTTAAACTGTGAGATTGATGTCCTCAACGCATGTAATATTAAAACTCCCTCTGTATCCTGTCAGTCTGTGAAGTGGTTGACATTTTGTAGCTATAGCTGAATTGATTAAAAGTAATAAACCCCTAATCGCTGTGGGTTTTCATTATTGTCTCAAGCAAAACCTCATTGTCGCTTGACAGAGCTGCTTTGTGAGAAAAGAACAGGAGATCTGACTTGAGTTTTACATAGCTGGCAGACGCTTTTAACCAAAGCAACTTGCAACTATGTGTTCTCTCTCTGGGAATAAAACCCTCCAGCCTCGACGTACATGTTAGTCGTTATGAAGGTTATGCATTTCTAATGAGTCAAAACTGGCACTGAATGATACGAGACAGCAATCCCAGATTGGAGTAAATTGCTTTCAGACAAAGTCCATTAAGGCAAGTCAGTTCACTCAGCCGCCATATTGGTAACAGCCCCGGGGCTGTTGTTTTCATTATAGGTAATAGACAACTTGAATGGGGAACGAACTAAATATCTAAATAAAATTATGTTTCAATTACATATTTTAACTCGGCAATGAATGACAACCATTGTATCATAAATGTAGCTTGTTTAATTAAAATCATGCTAAAAAAAAGACTTAGTCCAGTACATGAAGGTGATTGGCTCTTTTAATTAAAAAGCAGGGTTACTTATTGTTGACTTCTCTCATTCCTTTTTCTACAGTCTCTGTTTCAGATCGGCACCTTGAGCTGTCCAGTTTTGGCTAGAAATAATTAATATAAGGATGAATTTGCTGATGCACTGAAATAATCAAAACACATCAGCCTAATTTAGTTCATTAGGCAAGAACAGCAACACAACATGTTAATGCTTAGCGCAACCAGCAAGATACCTAATGCCTGGTTCAGATTAGAAGATTTTAGCCCGATTTTGCCACGATCCGTTTGACGTAGGGTGTCGTTGGGATTCGTAAACGACAACGGCCGTCGGGACGCAAGATTCGATCGTATCACCTCGTATAATGTGTCATAGTGGGCGACAACCTACGTCGCGTCTGCGATGCTTCACGACATCACAAAAAGACTAGCATGTTTAATTTTTTTAACAGTCGTCCATGGCGGTTCCATCACATGTATGAGGTTGACCAGTAGGAGCACAGAAGCTTTTCCGTACACAACTTTCAAAATGGCGAAACGAAAGAAAGAAGATGGTGCTAACGTTAAAACTAAAAGTAAAAATAAATAAGAAAACAATATTTTACCTCAAGTTCTCTTTGGAGGATTGACAGCCCATACCGTCCTCTTCAAGCAATCCAGGAACGTGTCTATTGTCGGGTTTTCTTTCTTTTTTACTTTTTTCTGAACACAGGACAGCCAATACAACACTCACCGCTTCATCCATTGTTTGTTTATGTTCGTTTCCGGAAGTCACTCGCTACTAGTTTCGTCTTCTTGATGTCATCACGTGCGTTAAAGACGGCATTTGATGACTGGTCAGGAAGCAACGTGTAGTCTGACGCGTCTTGTCCACAACGCGACAAGATTTTAGGAGTCAAAATCGCGTAATGTGACACAGTGACTATCGTAACAGAAAAAAAAATCGCGTAATTTGAACCAGGCATAAAGTTGATCCAAAAACATCTTCAAGAAGCTAAATAATCATATATGCTGTTACAGTGTATTATAATGAACCGATAAACACTTCAGACCAGAGGTTACACTGAATGCTAAAAAAAACATTACAATAAGAGGGTATGTAGGAGAAATTAAAATCATCTCATGCAAAACAAAAGAGAATGAGATGTAAAAAAAGGGTTTGCTATCAGATTTATTGAAATCGACATCAGAAAGGCTTTGTTTCTAATCATTTTTATAGATGAAATTAATAAAGTCATCATGAAACAGAAGTTGCGATAGTTTTTCCTTCCCTATTGTGATGTGTATCCAAGTGAAACAGCTTTTTGAACAAGAAGAAATGTAGGGATTTAGTCCATCGGGAATTGATTGAATAGTTGGATGGTTGTGGTTTGCTATTGCTGTGATGTCATGTGAGTGACAGGTTGTCCCGCCCTCACGCCATTAAACACGTCATCAGAGAAGAGATGTCTTTGCAAGAGGGAGGGGAAGATATTTTGATTAAAGATTACATAAGGGCACATTCATTTTTTTAATAATGATGTGCATGCATACATCATAATACATACTGCAATATTCTATAAAGAAACTAAAGTTGTCAATTTTGATTTCATGGTGACTTTAAACAATAGAGCAGGAAACAGGCTTATGTCTCGTGTATCATCACACATTTTCTGTAAGAGACATTTGGAAAAGGTGTTGCAATATCAGGCAACACTGAACCACATTAAATATTCATTAGTATAAAAATATCCACACTGCAGGCATAGAAAGCCTCTATGTTTACACAACATTTTCAAAGTGGAGTCGTTTCAGAGGAGGAAAAAAAATGTACATGTGGTCCATCTAAATATTGTCTCCGCTGCTGGTTTTCCATAGGCTTATAAACAAACCTGCGTCTGTTGAATGATACATGTGATAATGCCAGTTATTGTATGTTGGCAGTCAGCGTGACTCATGTCGTATTTCGAATATGTGAGTCGACAGACGTGTGAGACAGGGAACGGTGCATTTCCCTCAGTGAAATCCATCCCTTAGGGTTAATAAAATGGAGTGCTGTGAGCTGCATTCCCTCCCGAGGAAAAACAAATGTGATTTTCTTTCATTTTGGCCTTGTGTGAGGTTGGCTGATGAACGAGGTGCTGTAGTGTGCTTTTCTGCTGACCCAGAGGTAATTAAAGATGCTGGAGATTTACGACGAAGTTGCAACCTCTCTCAGCCACAGAGCTAATCTGAGAGAGCAATATACGTTTAAAAAGTGGCTGTTTATTGCTTTACGGTGTCCAAAATATTCTGCGTCTGTGTCCCATTCCCTCCAAAGTTTAATGCTATAATTAGTGACAATTAGTATCCTCATTGCCTGATATCTATAGGAATATGCGTTTAGCAATTATTTCTTAACATACACTTTCATTTGGGTTCAGTTTTTAATTGAATACTTTTATTCAGCAAGGAAGCATTAAATTATTTTAAAATTTACTGCAAAGACTTTTATAATGTTATTATGATATAATGATTTATATTTTTACTGTTTCAAATAAATGCTGAATGAATCGTAAATGATCTATTTATCAATGAATCATGAAAAAATATCACAGTTTTAAATGAAAAATAATAAGCATTCAGTTCACACTTAAGTATATTTTTTGAAGTATGGAAGTACATTATTTTCATAATTAATACTTTTTTTTTTTTAAATGCTGTCTTGTTTAGCATTAAAAAACCGATCAACCCAAAACTTTTAAATGTGTATTGACAGACTTTGGATATTTACTGCAAAAAAACATCAAACACAATTATTTGAATCTATTGAGAGCAATCAAAACACTCCGAGATAATTAGGTGCCGAGACCTATACATCAGTACAAAAATGCAAAAAATTATCTGGACTCTAAAAATACTTTATGACAAATAGGAGATAAAGATAATGCAAACGTTTCGTCTCTTTGCCTTCGTCAGTGTGACAATTTCACCCAATAATTATATAGAAAGGTCTTCAGGTGATTTTGATAATATTTAAACAATCAAATAATCTGGAGTCTAATTATTTAAAAATAATTATTCAATATATTACTCCATAATTATTAAAAATAATGTTGGGAACAATTACACATCAGGAACCCCGAAACAAAACAAAAAAAGAAATATCTACATAAAAACCCAAGCTTAAACAGTCAAATAAACAGTTCATTCTGTTGAGAGCCAGATTTTCAACATTAAGAATTAAAAACCAAACGTAAAAATAGATTAATTTCCTTTCTTGTGGCAAGAGGTTCATTATATTACTGTTTGTATAAAAAGTTTGAAACTTCTAGAATCTACTACTTATTTCCTTCTAAATAGTTTTAAACTCGCCTCAGTGCTCTGCTGTTTACTCTGAAACATGTTCTCTTCCTGTCACAAGTCAAAATGTCACGCCTTCAGTCTGCCTTTCACTCTCACTCCGGCTGAATTTCACATTCTCTCCGGCTCATATACCGTCTCATCCCTCTCTTCTCATTCACCCTTTGGATTTCACCCTCCCTGTCTCGCGTTCTCTACACCTCCACCCCTCCCCCTCTATCTCCACTCCTCCCCCTGTAGCTGTAACTGATGCTGCATAGCCGCCCCATGTCCTGCGACCACAAAACAAGTCCGCTATTAAGGAGTCCAAATCATACAGCAAATCCTTCTCTTCCGCCCCAGCGCTCACTGCAACACATTAGCGAGGCTTCACCGGATCTGTCCAGATCTTTGACACGTCCTTGTGGCAAGCTGAGAAAGATCACACATATAGTCCTAACCCTCCGAGATTACGAATATGCGGTCGTTTCATGCAATCCGTCGGACGACTTCGGGAGGGGCGGAGGAGGACTGAGATTCAGGGTGATGCTTGGGCAAAATGAAAGCGTGAGAAGGGAGGGCGACTTACATAAGGCTTTGCAGTAGACTCGTGAGTACCAGGCGCTCTAAAACATGGCAAGAGAAACAATGTTCCTCAGAGGACTGGAATGAGGGAGGGAGGGAGAGAAAGAAAGACAGAGTACAGAAGACTGATAAGGGTTTTATGTACAATGCATACAATATGCCGGAGAGAGAAGCCTTCGGACTGGATCGCAGGCTTGGTGGAAAGGCGGGGGGAAAGGAGGAATGGGAATGGCATTTGAAAGATAAAGATGTGTTAAAGAGCTCACGAGTGTGGGGGAAACTGGCTGAGGATGTGACGGGAATATGGGAATAGCAGCGCAGACAAAACAGAGAGAGAGAGGGTAAGAAAGAAAGAAACAAACCAATAGGAATCTCAAATCAGGATTTATTAGGAATAGAAATCTTTTGTAATATTATTAAAGTCTTTACTGTCACTTTTGATCTATTAAAAGCATCCTTGCGAAATAAAAGTATTAATTTCTTTCAAAAGAATCTGCTGGACCCCACAAAGGGTATATAAGAAGTTACAGGTTTTAACTTAAAACATTAAAAATATTTTTAGAATTTATACATTTTCCAGGTCTGTATATACATTATACATATATATATATATATATATATGTGTGTGTTTTAATTGGTGGATAATCTACAGATTTACCTGTGTCCTCAATATCACTGATTTTATGTCATATCAAATCAAGGCCCACATAAGCAAGAAAAAGCAATCGATTTAATTAATTCTATGATGATTTATGGTTTTAGTTGGTTTGTCTTGAAAAAATTACAGGAATCAGTAAGATATAAGAATAACATATATAATACTGTTAAAAATTGTGATCAGATAACTCTCAAACCCTCAAGCCATGACTAACTTAAGCTCTTTATTTCATTTTTACAACATATGAGGAATCCCTCACCTTTGTCTTTCTATATGTCATCCTATCCATTTCTCATATATTCTACACGTCCTCAATGCAAGGTCTGTGAGTTTACAACATACTCTACTGTTGCCGCCTCTTTAGTCAAGTGTGACAACAGATAAAAACAAGCTCCATCCCAGCATCTCTTCATTTCCTGTAAGACTAAAAGCAGCTGAAGCTGAGTCATACTGTGCTTGCCAAGCTGCTTCGTCCTTGGCCTGTATCTTTCAGCCCCTGTTCTTCATCCACTGCGACCCCCAGCCACCTCTCGTCTTTCCTTAAAAAGATATTCACAGCCTTTCCTAATCTCCCCAAACAACGTCTACCCCTCTCACAACAAATGACCTTTCCTGTCATCTCCACACACATAACCGGCAGATGTGGAAATGGAAAAAGGAGACACCTAGTGGCAGATTTCTGTTAAAACGGAGATTAAAAAAATTAAAATGGCCAAATCAATAACTCACTCCCAACCCACAAGACTTTCATTTAACTTCAAAATACAAATGAAGATATTTTTCTTTCACCCAAGCTTCAAAACGTTCAGAATAAAATTAAAAGAATTAAACGAATCCAAATGAATTGAGGGGTTTAATCCAAGTTTTCGGAAGAAACACAATTACTTTATGATTAACGTATTTCATTTAGTGTTTTATTCACATATAAACATTGCTCAACAACCACACAAAATACATACAATGGACAAACCTCATTGGTTCTTACAGAAACTCAGCAATGTGTGGTGTGAGCTTCTGTGACCAAATTTGATCAATGTTTATGTGAATAAAAGCCTAATTGTCTCTTCAGAACATCAAACCTCTCTGATTTCTTTTGTGACCTCTTTATGAATATTTTGAAGCATCAAATTTAGATAGATATTTAGACATTTAATGCAATGATTTTTAAGTGTAACTTGAGTCAGTGTTTTAGGGTCACAGTATATACTTTAAGATCTGAGACCTTTAATAGATTACAAACAAAGAGCCGGCCTACAGCACTCTATTCACACTCCTTTTGGCTAAGTCACTGCAAAATTTCAACTGAGATGAGCTAGGCTGAGTGAATCTGACAGATTACTCATGTCTACTGTCCGCTCTTCAGTGAGAACTGGACTCCATGTTTGTTCAGACGCTCTATTAGGGTGGTTCTTGCAAACGCTGAGCCCGGAGTGAACACGCCACCTCTGTGAGGAACAACAAAAGGACAACAGGTAAGAAAGGACTTTAAACATGCTACTCGAATAACCTTCATTGTTAATTGTAGAATAACTCTACAGTTCATACTCATGTAGCTTTGTGTCAAATATGAAGAAAATGTTTCTTCAACCAAGGGGTTGATTAAAATTCAATGGGGGTTAAGTTCACCAAAGTGCCAATAGCTGAAGAATCATCCATATATTATTTTGAGGTCAGACTACTCACTTATTAGGGAGACAGTGAGATTCATTCAGCAGTGTAATAGCTGCCTGCACCATGGTAATCGGTGTAGCGATGTATCCTGGCTCTGCAAAATACAACGGTAGTTACCATTTAAGTCGAAGTATTTAAGATGAATATTTTGTGTCAAATCATATTAGCAGGACAATACCTGGTCCTGTTATTTCAGTGTTGATAGTGGCATTTGGCTTGCCAAGAGAGGGGTCCTGACCTGTAGTGTAGCCCTCCCCCATAAACCTCAGGCAGAAGGAGGTTTCATCCATCTAAATTAAGACAGCAATGGCAGAGAGACACCATGCATCTTCAACAAAACAAATAAGGGCTTAGTCATTTGTTCTGTGAATTTCAATGCATTTTTATTGTACCTGCTTTCTTGACGGTCCAGACTTCGAGAACAAACCAAATGAGAAAAATTTGGGAAACTAGTAGAGAGAATAAAAAAAAACACACTTTGAGTTGATATTCATGACTTCATACAAGTAGTTCATGCTGCTCTATGGTAAGAATGCTAGTTCTTTTAACAGTTAAAATATAATCAAATGTTTTTTTTAAATGGTACTGGACCTGAGTAAGCAATCCCCTGCCAAAACTAAATTTGACCATGAACCAAAAGAGCACGCCTGCAAAGAGGGTCTTCAACACGGAGAAGGGACCACCAATACCTACATATGCCATGTACTGAACCTGAGGACAAGAGGACAGAGGAAAACAAAACAGTGAACTGTTGACAATTAATTTAATCAAATGAAGGCCATACAACAATAACAACAAGTGGGTTGGACAGTGAACTGCACACATTTGTGACAGCTGAATTATTAACGCATTATGTTTGAGTCCACTGCAAGACATCAAACAAAAATGATCAGATCCTGACAGCACCCTGTTGACCTTCATGACATCACCCTGTACACAGTGGTCATCGCTATGGAGATGAAAGAACAGGATGATGCATCACAAAGACTGTGAATCATCCCCAGCTCTTTGCATGAAGCCTTTCAGAGCACTATCACTGTAATCATGCTCGCACAAGACAGATCGAGAAGAAATGTAATTAAAGGGATAGTTCACTTTGAAATAAATTTTTGGTATGTTTTAGCTTACCTCAAGGGGATCCAAGATGTAGGTGTCTTTTGTTTCCACAGCATTTTCAATTTTGACATTTTTCGGTCAAACCGATGTTGTCTGTCAGTCATATAATGGAGGTTTAAGGGGTCCACCTCAAACTTTGAGGCTCAAAGAGCATGCACAGAGAAGTCAAAATTAAACATGATTTAATGACTCGTGAATGTAAGTACACACTGATGGCCTAAGACATGAAACGAGCGGTTTGTGTGAGAAAACGAACAGTATTTATATAGTATTATATAGAACAGTACTATATAGACCCCTTTTGCGCCGACGTCACAGTTACGTCACGGCGCTAGCTGGAGGAAAAACAAAGTGAAAACTGGAGGCGGCCAATACAAAACAGCACAGATTCGGCTACATAATAAGGAGCTTAAATAATTGTTAATATTATTAAATGTCATCTTGTTGAGTTGTTTGGTGCAAGAATTGATGAAAAATTAATATGCTGTATCTGGAACTTTTATTTCTAGAAAATATTCACATCATTAAAATCGCAATGTAATGTCACTCTTTACATTGTCGTGGTCTCGGCAGAACTGTGGATTGTACACACAAGCCTTGTACAGGACCATAGGCATCTAAAGATTTATATGCCATCAGTTTCTATTTACGATCGGTTTCTCTATAAGGTAGTTTTACCTACTAAACATATTTACATATATCGAAATCGTCTTCCATTGCGATTTCCCGTATATCTAAATATGTTTAGTGAAAGATAAAACCACTCCCGAAATCTCCGTGTAAACATTGCGCGACGTAGACGCGCGAGAGATCACTTCCGGCGCAACGTCTAGAGGCTGGAGACGATTCAGTTGCACTTCTGATTCAGATCAGGTCGACGGCAGGTTAATAAGAGGTAAAAAATATATAAATACTGTTCGTTTTCTCACACAAACCGCTCGTTTCGTGTTTTAGGCCATCAATGAATGTGTACTTACATTTACGAGTCATTAAATCATGTTTAATTTGGACTTCTCAGTGCATACTCTTTGATGCGGACCCCCACCTTGCATTATATGACTGACAGACAACACCGGTTTGACCGAAAAATGTCAAAATTGAAAATAGACAAAGACACCTACATCTTGGATGCCCTTGAGGTAAGCTAAAACAAAGTGAAGAAACTGTCAAAGTCTGTCTTTTTTAGGAACCCATTGCATTGGATCTACATTCCAATAACAGTTAACTGAAAACTGAATACTAGGTTTGGGTTCGAATTGTTCTGCTCACAAAAACTGATTGGCATGGTTTTTAAAACAGCAGAAATTTGGAATGAAATTAATATGAACGACAAAAAAAAAGAATATATAATATTCATAATGCCACCTTGTTGAACATACGAGACTTTAAGAGTACATTAAAATATACAATATAAAATATTTATTTTATTACATTTTTATTCATTTTGAAAAAATAATTTAATTATTTATAAAATATATATTTTGATATTTTAAATATACATTACAAAATTTGAGATTATATCGCTATAATAACCCTAAAAAGTAAAATATAAATGAATAAACTAAAAAATAGGACAAATTTCTAATATGATGACAAATTACTAAATATAATACAATATAATTTAATGTGTTATTTGTAATTAATATGTATATAAACATATATATCATAAACATATATATAGTGGTGAATGGGAGACTACAGTAAATGTTCAAAATAAATTGCATTCCCATTTGCTATAATAGCAAAAGAAAAAATATAACTGGAAATGTGTCATCACAATCTTTGAAAAGACTCCATTTCATGTTAAACTGTAAAAAGATGACTATAAGTATATATACATACATATACACACACACATATATATATTTATTAAGGCTGTCAAACGATTATTTGCGATTAATCGCATCCAAAATTAAAGTTTGTGTTTACATAATATATATTATTTATCATTTAATAGAAAATTATAAACAAAAAAAATGAAATATATTGAATTAAATTACATTGGTATCAAAAGTGTGTATTTTTTTTTAGACTCACAGGGCAGTGGTTATGTTCCTCGTGCATATAGCGCTGAGTCCGGCGCACCACAGATGGATCTGAGCCCATGAAGGGAATAGCATACTGCTCAATCTCCTTAGTGAAGAAAACAGCTCCCCTGGGAACACCAAAATAGCAAGCAAATTAACACAAGTACAGATTTCCATCCTGAGAACAATTCTCATTCACTCCTTTGGGAGTCGACTGCTATATAAAGCACATGAAACATGATCAAGATATTATTAATAGAATCTAATGTCGAGAAATATTTTACAAATACATAGAGCCACCTCTTTTTAATTCTAGCGCCGACAGCCGGGAGAGGTTTATGCCCAAACTTTTTCCTTATTCTTCTGAGACTGGCACTGTCAGCAAAGCCAAAGATGGCCGACTGCCATGTCGCATCATGGGCACATCCACCCTGATGAAGAAGACAAGACAGCTGAACAAATGCCAAGACATGTTTTGCTGTTTTGAGGGCACGCAATAGGTCAGATACAAACAATCTGCTATAGCTCTCTTCATACCTGAATCAGGTATGAAGAGAGCTATAGCAGATTGTTGTAACCTGATCAGGTAACAGCAGGAAATATAATTTGATAGAGTGCTTATGAAATGGGCCATAATACTCTCAATATACTCTCTTTATGCCATCTGCTACTCTAACAGTGGAATTTAATTTATGTACAGTTTTTATATAGTGTTTCAGACTGTATTTAAACATTTTCTTTCTTTTTTTTTGTGAGCAATCCCCCCCCTCCAAAAAAGAATCTCTCCTTTGAAATCAAGTTAATCATTAACATAAATTCCCACAAATTCCTAGTTTGCTCCATCGGGATATGACAGTTAGTTGCATTATTTATGAGCAGCTGCAATTGTGAATTCCCAGAGCTTAATATAAGCACTGCTTTAATCCTTGATCAGTTTGAGAGCTCATTTTCAATAACAGTCAATCAAATTCCAATGGACTTAATATAGTTGTGCAAAATAATGTATACTGTATACTGCTCACCCCAGGTCCCGTGTTGATGGTTAAAAAGCTCTCCACAGCAGTGAGCGTTCCTGTGGAAGACAGGCAAAGGAGTTGTCAGGCATCTGCAGCTCTCTACAGGCACGTTTGCCCGCAGCTGCACTTCAGAGGCCAACCACTGACACTCACATCCGGTGAGCACTGAGCGCCTTTGCCTTTGTCACTGACACATCCCACTAATTGAGATGAGATTAAAGAAACCGACTGCACAAGGGTCGTGTGAATCAGGGGTCAAAGTTCATTCACAGGGCAAATGTCACAGTAACATATGTACGTTTTAACATTAGGAGGACACTGATGCAAATAGCACCTCTAAACCTGTTATAAGACAAGTCAGGATTAGAATACTGTATGGTACTGTAGATTAGAAGTAATTGCATTACTATTATATTATAATTTAATTAGACTTTTAAATAATCAATTATTAATAATAAAACATTATCCATACATGCAACCAACCTTTGAAGTGATTCTGTGTATAAAGGATGCCCATATCTGCTGGTATTGAATCAAACCCACAGCTTCCAATGATATACACACCATTCTCCTGAGCCTTACTGTGGTACTTCAACTGCATCCCCTCTAAAAACTGCATAATTCAACAATCAAAGAGATCTCCATTCAAAGTTTTGTGGTATGTTCAATTTTTCTTTACATTTATAATGTTACAAAAGATTATTTTATTTTTTTAAATGCTGTTCTTTTGAACTTTCTATTAGTCAAAGAATGGAAAGTCACAGTTTACACAAATGTTTCAAGCACCAAATCATCATAATAGAATGATTTTTTAAGAATCATGCGACTGAAGATTGGAGTAATGACTGCAACAAACAGTGATAAAAGCATAACAGTAAGTACCTGTGGTTCTCCGCAGAGGTCAATGTAGTGGGCCCCATTCTCTATGCAAGCCTTCACCACAGGCTCTCCATAGAATCTATACTGTTGAAAGAAGACAACTCAGCACAATCTACTTCCATATATGCAAAATGGCATTTTACAGTCAACAGTTCACTTAGAATAACACAACTCCATTTATCATTTTTTGTCATAAAGCTATTGTGGGACTATGGGTGTGATGGGACAGGTGTGAATGCACAGATGTGTAAACTGACCCCTTCCTGTGCTTTTTACTATAGTTTTTGTGGACTTACAGGTCCCATGCAGTTGAGCACAATACAACCTTGTTTGCACATGATGGCCAATGACTCTGGCTCGGCTACATCTGCTACGATAACCTCCACACACTTCAGCTCTGGTTTACCTGCAGACAAATGATCCAATGTCAGAGATGGATGTTTCTCTCTTCTCTAACAGCTCAAAATGATATATATATATATATATATATATAGATAGATAGATAGATAGATAGATAGATAGATAGATAGATAGATAGATAGATAGATAGATAGATAGATAGATAGATAGATAGATAGATAGATAGATAGATAGATAGATAGATAGATCTTAGTATGGGGAATTCCAGAGTATGATGGGATTGTCAGAACATTATGCCTTTAATCAACAATATTCTCAAACCTTGTAATCCCATCGGATAATCTCAACAGACAAAATCTGCTGAAACTCGTCTAATACCATGATCTGACTGCCTCATGCCTAGCCATGGCTGTATGGTAATTCAAGCTGTCATAAATAACATATGTGCATTGTAATTCTGTGTAGCCTAGCAAAAAATAAATAAATAAATACAAAATTTGAGATTATTTTATAATTAAAAAAAATAGTTGACAAACGTGATAGTACAGGGAAAAACATGGTAATATCATGTTAGTTTTTATTATTACTAAATGGTCACACGTAGTCTATTGTATAATCATGTAATCCAAATGAGAATTAAAACAGTATTTTTGTAGCCTACAGAGTTACTACTATATTGTATGTTTATTATTTTCTGTTGTAATTCATTGTTATATAATATGTGTGAGCACCTCAATGTAAAGTACAATTACGCCAAAATCTAAAAAGTTGTTGTTAAACTTAAATGTAGCTACTGCGTCAAACACGTACACAGAGCGTCAGCTGCCTGAATGAGTGTTTTTTCCAGTCGGTCGCGGTTCCGTCCTGCTACAGCCCATTGTAACGACCCTCCTGGACCCTCGGTACACGTCCTCGCGACCTCCTCCACTACAAACTGACCGGTAAAACCAGTTGCCCCGAACACTATTATATGGTACGGTCTTTTGCTTGATATTGTGAGCGTCGCCATTATGTTTGTAATCCGCGTGCGATGCTGCTCCTCTGGTGTCACTGTACAGTGTACAGTATCAGTGCAAAGTACTGCCAAAGAGGTTTAAAAGCTCAGGTTCTGCTTCAGATAAATTGTAGCTCATATACAAATCCCACTGTTTGTGGGTGAAAATTCCAGAAACGGTCACATTTTGAAGTAGTGCAGAGACATCTTGTGCTGGAAAGGTGATATTACCACAACAGTAGGCTACTACAGTGTAATGTAAGCTATATTTTGTGACCATTAAAATATTATATATAGAAAAGCAAATGTATGTAAATACACAGAGCTGTAAATAGCATTTGAATGTCACTTGATAAGTTATAAGATTGCAGCTTGTTAGAGACTGTTTTGAAGAAATCGGTCAAATATGTCAAGTTCTAGTCAGACCACTTTTTTTCTAATTCATTTATTATTATTATTACAAATGATTTTATCAGCATAATTACTTATCAGCACCATCTTTGATCTTTTGTTCGAAGGAGTTCACATATTCACAAAATTATAGAAATGGTGCTGAATCTTAGGCATTTTGTTTCTTTCTTTAAATTTGTTTTTAAAAATCTAACACGTTTATAATTACACTTTGAACCCTAAATATTTTCGATGCGTTTCTAGACTTTTGGTCCCCACTGTTTGTTTTTGTGATTAATCACATATTGTAAAATGAAATTAAGCAATATGAATGAATTATTTCAATATGCAGTTTACTTAACAATTGACTTTAAAGTTCAAGCATATATTGTTCTTTTGGCAAGATAACAATGACAGTACAATGATCAGGTACTTAATCAGGGCTGTGACACTATAATATTTTTGTTCTGTGCATCTTAATGGTTCATTGTTAGAAAAATTGTTATTGGATTCTGAAATGAAATTAGCTATGAGTCAGTCTACGGATGACACACTGGTCTCCAATGTGAAATGCTCCTACTTCACCTAGGTTATGTGTGCCAATTCCATTTGCTGCTGCGTCAACTTTTCTTCCATTCAGAAGACCATTCCACTATTATCATAGAGTTACAGCATAAACCCTCTTCCAAAATATATTTCATGTCATAATTCAGAGATGTCATGTGTATTACTTTGCAAAGGAAAACAGAAAGACATACAGAAATAGGATTCTAGTTCTGAGAATAACATTAAAACACTCAGGCCTGGTTTCAGAGATATGGCTTAAGCCAGGATTAAGGCCATTTAAGTAGCTTTTATAAACGCGTCTCAGATAAAAATATTACAAGTGTGCATCTTGAGACAAAACAATGACACTGAAATATTTTAAGATATATCAGTGCAAGTTGCTTTCAGTTAAAACGCTCAAACATGCATTTTAGTCTGGGACTAGGTTTAAGCCTTGTCTGTGAAACCGGGGGTAAGACTATTATTGAAAACACAAAAACCCACTTTAATTACTGAACACAAAACATGCTTGTAAGTAAAAACAAATTGATTGCTTGCTGTCTGATACGATTATACAATTTTCAGATTTATTTTGTACCGGCTGACCACAGAAGAAGTGCTAGAACAAAACCGAAGTGTCAGATCTGATCGATCCTCGTTATTCAACATGCTTATCTGTTTGATAAGTTAATATCCCATAAGTTAACATTGCAAGATTTTTGCTTGTTCATATTGATACTGTGTGAATTTTTGTGCTTACAGTCAATATATCTCAAAATAAAAAATATACATACAAAGATAATCATGGAATGTAGTGTATCGGAGTACTAAAATGTACAAAAACAATGTTGTGGCTCCAAAGGCAATTCTTTCAATGCATGTAGCTATTGATCAGTCAGAGGAATAGCTGTGGTATAGTAAAATGCTCTAATAAGCATGTTTTAGTACCAGTATTAAACACTTTATACAGATGCATTAGGAAGCCCTGTGTGTACAGACTCACTAAAGAAACATTTATTAAGGCCTGTCTGGTAATGAGCATTTGTGCATATTATCTCAAGAGAAATACTGTTGTTTATCATTATAAATGGTAATATAAAGAAAAAGTTCCACTTAAGTTAGCATAAAATAGCTGTTATGATGCACCAGAAGAGAGCCACTGTGTGAGAGCGTCCACTCCTCGTCGTACAGGTCCAAAGAAAAATTCTACGTTTTGCGAGAAGTCGACACACACATTAGAGTACGCCTCTCCAATGAGACAATAAAGAGCAGTCCCACCCATGCTAATCACCACGGTAGCCAGACACAAGAAGAGAAGGACGAGGCAAGAGTTTCCAGACACCTCATCTGGAAGCATGAGAAAGATGATCATTCTCACATTAATACAAAACAGAAATATGAAAATATAAAGGCCCTGTGTGACCAATTGTTTACAAAAATGTGATGAAATTGTACCTTGATCGAAAGCATCATCTGGCTCTCTGAAACGGACTTTGCGTTTGGTCGAGTCTTTTTGTGGAGTCGTATTCTCTGTTTCCTTGACGCAGGGTCTCTTCTTTAAAATAGAGACTAAGCCATTTGAGGGAAACGTCTATGAAATAGACAACAACATCTGAGGTTGAATTCGTTTTAAAGCATGTACATAGCAAATAGTGTAATAACAACTAATAACCAAAAGGGGTCAGTATGTGCAACATTATAATGAACCGAACTGGATTATTGTGATCCCTTGTGAAGAGTACTTTTAAAAAAGAGCACTTATTATGATAATAATAATATACTTAAATGTGAACCAATGTGTTTAGAACCAATTTATTATAGAATATTTGTATTCTATTTTAACCCACTTAAGAAGGACTTAAAAAGACAGTTCAACCAAAATTAATTATTTACTCACCCTAAAGTTTTTTTCCAAACCTGAATGACTTTCTTTCCTCTGCTGAACACAAAAGAAGATATTTTTACGAATACCAGACAGTTGATGAGCCCCCATTGACTTCAATACTATGGAAGTAAATGGGGTCCCACCAACTGTTTGGTTACCAACATTCTTCAAAATATCTTCTTTTTGTGTTCAGCAGAGGAAAGAAAGTCATAGAGGTTTGAAGTGGCATGGTGAGTAAATGATAACAGAAACATTTTCGTAATTGTAAAATCAGAAGCCTAAACAAAAGTGATGAGAGTCTTTAAATCACTATAAAATAATTGTGTTCTGCAAGCAAACAAACACATGTAATCATCATTCAGTTGTCGTGTTTGTTGATCAAAAAAGTCAGTAACTCTTTCAGACTGTGTGTCCAATACAGTTCTGGAGAAGGTTTTTTAAAACAACCACGCCCAATAGCTTTAGGAAACCATACACTCCCTGAACGCTTCTTTATAAAATTCCTGCAGCTGGCTGCCATAATGCCGTGGATGACATCACACTATTTTGCTTTCACAAACCAGAGAAACCCTGTGGCTAAAAAATGTGGCTCGAGAATTGGAAGAAAGTCCCATTTGACCTTTCACGAAGTCGTAAAAAGAATCAATTCGAGGACCCATATTAATACATCATTGCATATCTAAGCTCCGAGGAATACAAATCGCTATGTAAGCGGTTGATTTGGAAAGATCGCAGCAGACGGATGGTGTCTCAGCATGCTTATTTTTTCTATAAGCAGATGGTAATATGCAAGAGATTAACATCACTCCTACAGCGTTCTACCTCCTTTACCTGAATGAGGCTGTCCAGCTCATCCATGGGAACCTGGCCGTCAAAGTCTGTGTCGTCCTGCAGCTCCTCATTCCAGTACTCATCCTCATCAAGACCTTCCTCCTCCTCATCCTCATTCAAATCACAGTTCTCTTCTGGCTCTTGTTCAGCTTCCAGCCATGAGCTGTCGCCCGCCCGCTTTTCTCTCCCTGTTGAGTTCACTGAAGCTTGTTCTTGTTTTGATCTTCTGTGTTCGGTCACATGGCTTGGGCTGTTCTGTAGTTTTATATCGTCCATGTTCTGCAATAACGGACTGCTTTAATCAGACTTATGGAAACATAAACCGCATTCGTGGATAATAAGCAATTGTAATGTTTTTGACTTTACCTTTTCCAAAGAGAAGTTAGGCCTGAAAGAGGAGTAGAGTTTGTCAAATTATTAATTAAGGAGTTATTTAACTTCTGTAGTGTTTTGTATTGTATAAAAAATTTATATACAATAGCAAACCTAGCAAATAATGAATAATTATATATATATATATATATATATATATATATATATATATATATATATATATATATATCATTAACCTTTTTACATATTTTTATTTTAAAAATATATACCTTTAGAGCAGTGGTTCTCAACCATTCAATGTTCTCAAACATTTTGGTGCCAGGGACCCCTTTCAGGGGAAAAAAAATTCCAAGGACCCCCCTCATATTTATAACAGTTATTGAGCACAAAGTTAATGTGTGAGCGGCAAATGAAATATTTTTGCACAAAATGAATGGTCTCCACCCAGGGTACTATGCAGGAATTTCTAAATAGCCTACTGAGGTAACGAAAGTGATCTTGCTAGGAATCACTTAGGATCCCTCACTTAGGAATTTTTGATGTTCTTGATATACACACATGTGCATTTTAAGGTGTTTTAAGGCCCCACAATTGGATAACTATAGATTTAGTAGAAGCATGTCAGTCAGTGGCATTCATTTTTTTTTTTTTTTTTTTGTCAAGATGTCACGAAACACAATCACATATTCCAATCAGGAATGGCCTTAAAAGAGAAATGTTTCAATAATTAGGCCTATTCTGCACACAAATAAAGCCCATAAGCCTATAAATACAATGATAATGGCATTATGTTTAATAGGTGCGTGCGTTGTTAATTTGAGCTACTGTAATTAGCTAAAAAAACATACAGTATATGTTAAATATATGAATCCATAATGTTAATCTCATGGGCACATGCAGTATGTTTCTATTGACCTGCTTTTTCCTTTGTTAAAGTTGAGCTTGATTAATACTTTGCAAACTGATTGTTTCAGTCGTTTTTTAAAACTTTTATCTAAAACAGCTGTTTAGTTTATGTTAATTAAGGCCTACATCTTATCTCGCACTTTATGACCGTTGACTGAAACGTCGTGCAGGGAACTTTGAGTTCACTCCGACTCAAACATTTTGACATTGACGAGCTATCGTTGTTAGTCTGCTGAAGCACCTCAGAGAGAAGGTCAGTATCATCGCGATGTGCATCCTTGCAACCTCAGTTGTGGGTACGGCCCTGTCACTATGCACTTTTATTTTGATAATGATCAGACTTCTAATGTCAAATCTACAGTAGCAGTGCTAGAACTGACTATTGTGCGCGCACGCGAGACGCCGGGGCGCAATTACATGGGAATTTTTCCTCAGCAGTGGAAACAGGAATACTCTTATTTATGGTCATAGATAAGACAAGAGTGCATCATCCGAAACGGTAAAGTGTCCATTTTTTTATTTGTGTATAGGCTACATTATAAATGACTACAAAATGTCATGCCTTTTAAAAATACAGAAAAGAACCGGATGCGGGTTCATGCCGTCTCTCTGTCTCCTTTCTGGCGCACGTCCCGCAAAATCAACAGCAGCGAATAGTCTACTTGACGCAAAGACATAGATTATCTATCTATAGAAAACTTTTAAGTGTCTACTTTGTATTGTTTTATGTTAAATGCTTTATATAAGTTACTTAGGAATAAACAGCATGTTTTCAGATGATAAAAACATGACTCATAGCATGGAAAAAAACGTTAGGTTGTAAATTATTTCGCGGACCCCCTGGCTTTAGCTCGCGGACCACCAGGGGTCCGCGGACCCCACTTTGAGAACCACTGCTTTAGAGTAATCTTCTCAATGCTATTTAAATACACACACACACACACACATATATATATATATATATATATATATGAAGAGTTCAGATGCAAAAGCCTTTAAATGCCATTTAAAATTTTCTTCTTTAATGATGATTTTTATCAAACTTGTATATTTAAGTTCAGTAATTTCACTTAAATAACAATTAATAGGTAATTATCATTGTCATTTAAGTGAAATCACTGAACTTAAATATACAAGCTTGATAAAAATGATCATTCTAGAAGAAAATTTCAAATGGCACTTAGAGGCTTTTGATATTACTGTTTTACTGTATCTTTTATCAAATGACAACAACGTCTTAAATATTACAGTAAATGAAGACAAAAAAAGTGAAAAACATTCATATCTTTCTTTAGGTATTTCCCTATTAATCAGTTTAAATTGATGACACTTGACAAGGCCCTGGCTCTGTCAGGGTTAAATATTTTTTAACTTTGTAAATAAAGTGTAATGATTATTCTTCTCTTCAGACAGTTCTTGTCTACACACAGTCTCACCTCTGGTGTGTTCTGCAGATACGACTCAACACTTCCATATGCTCTCGCTCTCTGTCAGTTCCATTAGCGTTTAAAGTAGAGTTACTTTCTGTCTGGATGCTGATTTTCCTCTGGGACTCTGAAACCAAACATATTGATTTGATTCTTAAATATTTGGACTCATTTTCTGTCTATCTCTTTCTCTCTCTCTCTCTCTCTCTCTCTCTCTCTCTCTCTCTCTCTCTCTCTCTCTCTCTCTCTCTCTCTCTCCCGCATATACAATATGAACACAGATTATCTGAAAGCAGTCTAAAAACACTGATACCATTCTCGCTTCCAGAGACTTTATGAAAAAAGTTTCACTTTCTACAACAAGACCTTGTTGACAGTTAATCAGATAAGGGAAAGTCTGACCTCTGTACTGCAGTGATATCGGTGAAGTAACAGAGTCACGTGTGGTGTGGGCAAAGAAGCGCGGTTGGGAAATGAGCAATTTCCTGAGATCAAACCATACCACTGTGGTTTACTTACATAAGATGAAGCTACCAATTCAATTTACAACAGTATTGTTCTATTTCTAAGAGAATTATCATCTTTATAAGATAAAATAATGCTTTAGGAAATCCTCTCACATGCAAACAATTTGACCTCGCCTGGTTAAAGTTATTATCCATAATCATCTGGCATTCTTACCCCATTTCTTTTGTATGGAGGCCAGATTAGACAGTAGTCTTTCATGGTACAGCTTCTCCAGATGAAGAAACTCCACTGCCCACTGATCTGAGATGGTCAATGCTTAAAGAATGCAACGTTTAAAAGTGTTTATATAGATAGAGTACCATTCAAAAGTTATAATTTAAACTAATTATTTATTTTTTAAAATATCATTAAATTTATCAAAAGTGACCATAAATACAACTAAAACACGGCAAAAAAATATGAAGACTGGAGTAATGATACTTTCACAGTATTTTTTATCAAATAAATCCAGCCGAAACTTCTTTCAACAACATTTAAAAATCTTACCGAAGCCCATTATGACCAGAGATAAAACAGTTATAAAAAAATCTCTTTTTTAAATTAAATAACTATCAACATCCTTCCTTTTTCCAACACCCTAAATGTTAGCATGGAAAAACACACCCCAATGAGCTTCCCCTTGGTTACGCTTCCCCTGGTCTATAAGACAACAGCATCAACAGGGAACATTTAGTGACAGTCAAAGGAAAGGCAAAGAGGAAACAGACCGAGATCAGGAGAAAAACAGTGGTGCATTTAATATCCAAAAGGATACAGTCCTCTTCAAGGAAGTAGCCCTCCGCTATCTGTTATGGAAGAAAAATATCAGCAAGTAAATTATTACATCTCCTTACCAATTCCTGGATCATCACAAAGACAGCTTCATCAAGCGTTAAGCCGCATTTCATGTAAGACCTGAATCTGGATTTCATGTCAGTTCCCTAATCAAGAGAAGAGCACATTTCAATGAAGCGCATGCGAACATGTTAACGGGTCTGACAGTGAGCGGAGTATGATGTTTGAGAAAATAACTGCCCTATCTTTGCCCATCTAATGCATTCTCTTACATGGATCGTCTATATTTAGCGTATGTAGGAAAATGAATAGGTTTTCCTGTACTCTTGATTTTATCTAACTACAATAATCTCATTGGGAGGTAATTTACACCCCTTTATTTATAACTCTATGGGGAAATTAAAACAACAACTCGCAGAGCACATTTCAGCAGTTTGTCTTGATGACAGATCTGATTATAAATGTGTATGGTGTTTTTGTCAAAGCTTTTTTACACGAAGGATGCCTGGAAATGCTGACAAAATATGAAAAACAAGAATAGATTATTTTTGTACTACTTATATCACATTTTGGTTGAAATTAAAGAGTTAGTTTAAAACCAAAAGAGCTTATAAGAATAGAGTTCATTAGCGGAAGTATTTTTTCCAATCATTTTTACCAAAGGGATTTAAAAAAAAGTCTTTGTTAAAGCATTATAAGCCATGAACCAAGCCAACCAGCTATGGGGTGGATCACAACATTGCGATTGGTGGAATTTTCTGTACAGCATCATGGGTAATGTAGTTTTCACCACAAATTCTGCTGTTAAACAAGAAGCAAATATTATCGTACTCGCAGCTCAAATCAAGGCCGTCTTTATTTGTTTATATGTTACCCTTAAAAATCTTTTTTCCTATTGAGAAAATTAATGGAGCTATATATACTTTCAGAACAAGACTGTTGCACTGTATAGATTACTGCTGTTTTTCCCTTTAAAATATCCTTTAGTAAACAACAAAAGTTATCAACACTCTTAGAATAAAAGGTTCAGTGGGGTTCTTTATATATACAGTAACTATAGGGTTCTAGAATTTTAAATAACTCTTTATGCTAAAAAGCTATATAAGATATATAACCTGATTGCATAATACTTGTTAAACAGGTTACTTAAAAAATGTACCAAGTTTACGAGCTGTTTAATTAAAACATTTTGTTAAAAGGGTTACTTAGAAAATGTACCAAGTTTACGAGCTGTTTAATTAAAACATTTTGTTAAAAATAAACATGCATTGAAACAGAATTAATTAATTGAACTTAATACATAAAATGATCACATGATGGGAACCCCTAAAAGGCCCTTTAAGGTCTTTCCATGCCAATTTGTGTTTTGGCAAGGGCCTTTTTGTGGGCGTAACCTTTTCAAACTCCCAGTAGTGTCCCACTCACCTGGTGTAAGGAATGAGGGAGGAGCATGTGATCATTCTCTTCAACAAGGGACTGCAGTGAAGCCAGAAGAGAAGGACTAGGTCCAGGTGGCACAATCCCAGAGAGAGTACCTGTACAGAGATCACATCAGGAAAAAAAGAAGGAACTCTGATGCAATTGCATAATTACGAATTTAGTAAACTGGTAAATCCAGTGATTTGAATGCATTACGGTTACTTAGGTTTATGGTTAATTAAACTGCTTAATACCTGCTAATAATTAAAGGAAAGATTGTTTTTGGAATGTGGTTAGCAGTTGGTCTAAATTTAACCTTAAAGAAGCTGTTCAGCCAAAATGACATATTTGTCATTATTTCCTCATGTCATTCTTAAACAGTAATCTGACATTTTTTTTCCTGGAACAAAATAATAATTTAAAAGGATCTCTTGTCCATATAACATCATAGTGATTCCTCTCAATCCTCAATTAAAACACTCCATCAAAGTGATCCATATAACATGTGAACTATAAGCTAGATATATATATATAAAAATTAGATGCTCAACAAGGCATCTAAATATTGTGAAATTTTAAATAACCATTTTCTGTTTTAATATATATTTAAATTGTAATTAAACCTGAATTTTTAGCATCATTACTACAGTCTTTGTCACATGATCCTTCAGAAATCATTCTAATATGCTGATTTGCTGCATAAGAAATGTTTCTTTTTATTAGGACATTTTGAAAACAATTGTCCAGCTTATTAAAATAAACAAACAGCAATGTAAGAATGTAAGTGTCCTTAGTACTTTTGTTAATAAGGACACTTTAACATTGTTGTTTACATTGCTGTTGTTTTGAACTTGAATTATTTGAATAGTTATTGAATAACTTAATAATGCCCATTGGAAATTGAGAAAACATCTGTTTTCCAGATGTGTGCTGTTGTGAGGGATTCTATTCAGAGGGAATTAAATTTCCAGTTGAATTTGGGGAAACCACTTGAAACATTTGTTTTGTCGAGCTATTTCAATTACTTTTGTCATTGAGTCTCTGCAATGGGGGGGTTGAATATTTTCAATTACAACAGTATATATATCTATATATATATAGATATATATAGATAGATAGATAGATAAATGTACTGACCCCAAACATTTGAACAGAAGTGTATACAGTAGTGTATACAGTACAGTAGTGTAACAGTAGTCACTTCAAAGGGCCGAGGTATACATCACTGTCAGTAAATTCTTAAATATTTCTACCTTTTGTGCTCCAAGGTAAATGGAAGTAATTCCATTTCACGTTTTTGATTGAATTGTTTATAACATTTTAAGTAATATTTCTTTCATCAAGACAAGAATTACAGCGATATAAAATGCCTACCATGATCTAAAGAGCAACTGTGGCTCTTGATGTTTGTTGGAGACCTCTCTTCTGGGTTCATTATCTGTGAGTCGAGTTTAACAGCTTCCACGTCCATTACCTCGGCCTCCTGCAGCTTGTTCTGATTCTCATCAGAGGCTGCTAGGTAAGACGTAATGATGTCCTCTGCGGTCTGGCTTATTGTACTCGTCTCTTTCCATAGTACAGACTTCCTTGTAATGGACTCTCCCATAACTGCTAGGTGATCACAAAGAAGATAGACGATCATAAAAATGAATCTATATCTTAACAAGGACTCAGGAGAAAACAGTAAGGACTAAATATATCCACCAATTGGGGACAGGGTGGTTTTTCAAGTTCTTCACCCTGTGCTGTCCCTTATAGACCATTTTGCAAGATGTAAACAACACTGGTCCAGAAGGAGTTTCAGTTTTTTTAACACTACATAAAAGCTGGGATAAAATACAACCAACAGAACATATAAAACTGAATCAAAAAGTTAGACAAACATCTTTAAGATGTTTTCTTTACCTGTGAAATAAAGAAAACAGTTACAAACTGAAACAGGAAGTGTTTCTGGACCAGTGTTGTTTACATCTTGCAAAATGGTCTATACTGGTCATATCTGTCATCAGTGACAATGCATCACATGATCGTAAATTGAAAGAGGAAACACAAATAGCACATGTTTGGTGTTACTGAACATTTTACAGGCAGATCTTGGGCCTTACTTAAGGAAAACCTTGTGAAGCTGTGAAACAGGGTGTCCTAAAACGAACCAACACAAGACAAGCTCAAACTGACAGGTGTGTTCAAAAACAAGAGCCGGTTATGGCAGCGCTGCATAATTCATTGGATAGGGGTGCTTGTCTTTCACTCTGTCTAGGGATTTTGAGTGAAACCAGAGACAGAGATGGAAAATGGGTGAAGTGTGGATGAGTGTCCTCACAGTAAATTACTTGTCACTGTCAGAGTGGTAACAGAACAGGGGGAATGATAAAAGGCTGACAGAAAAGTTTCTTGACATACCATGACCATAACCAGATCCATGTCAAGTTGAACATTAATAAAAGCCGAACAGTGTGAACAGGGTGGTCATATAATGAGACATGTTGAGATTATACTCTACCTGATGCAGCAAAAGTTTAACAATTTTGTTTGCAGAAATTGTGCTGAAAAAAATTTCATTGGCATAAGTTTGTTTAATACACTACCGTTGAAAGGTTTTGGGTTGGTACATTTTTAACAGTAAAAATTGAATTTTCATTTTAAACAGTCTTCAGTCAGTGTAACATGATTTTTCAGAAATCATTCTAATACTGATTTGGTTCAAAAGAAACATTTCTCATTATTATTATAATGAGAAATATTATTGTTTTGTTTTTTTAACAAAAAGTAAAAAAAAAAACACATTTATTTGAAAAATATCACTTTGCATACTTGCTTATTAAAATTAGTTTTTTTTTTAATATGGAAAAATTATATTTCAGTTTTTTTACTTGTAATTTTCATATTTTAATCATGGTATATATCAAAAATGCACTATAATAACATTCTGATTGTGTACCATGACACCACCACGGTTTTGTTTTGGTGCTGTTATATAACTGACTAATTTTTTCATTTTTGAGTGACATCCAGTCACATCAAGGTTGGGTTTAACCATAACTTTTAGTTATTAGTACACTAAATTAAACCATGAATTAGCATAATTTGACAGGCAAAGGGATTGTGTTGAAGCCTGCAAATATAGATGTCAGGACATGTCATGTTTAACAACAGACAGGTGTTCACATGCCTGAGGCCTATCTTAAAGAAAAGCACATACTAAAACTGACCCATTTTAAAAGAAAAGAAAACTAAAGAAAAGAAAACTCTGTTCTCTGCCCCTCTGGTCAACTTTGAAGATTGCACTGTAGGCGGAACTTCTAATGAATCTTCACCATTTTAATGAATGAGTGTGCTAAATTAATATAAACGGCTTCAAAAACCCAACATCACAACGTGGACTGGTAAAAATAAATTTATGTTTACGTTACTGCTTTTGTAACATATTTCTACTGATCTAGTTTTGCACATACCTTGTACACAAATGAAAAATGGTGTAAAGGGCGCGTGCTTTAGTGTCCCGTAACCATTTCACAGCATCTTGTCTTTTGTCGCTATTTTATTTTCATCGGAAAACATTTCAAAATGAAAAACAGACACACGACTCATGTCGTACTTACGTTTACGCTCTGTAATGATGTTACAATATTCCGCATCTGTCAACGCGTGCACGCGCAGCGTTCATATCTGTTCCCAGAGCTGCTCAAGCAACCACCCCAGACCCCTCTCTGTGAAATACAGACCGATCTCAAATCAGTTTCGATGCCTTGTCTTGTCTCCGCATCTTTGCAGTTGTTTACAATCCAAACAGGGGCGTTTCTTTACAAGGTTTCGATCTTGCTGGACGACAGTGGACGTTAGTGCCACCCATCGGTTCACATATGGCACTGACATTGAAAGTGTTTTGGAGACATAAAATTAGACATCAAATTGGCTGCTGTTCACTTTACTGCATTCATTCAAGGCGAGACAATCGTCTATTTGCCCACATAGCAGCAAATATGACAAATTAGCTTTTAAAGTAATTAAATATTTAGTCGTGACTCCTGTCAGGTGACAGAGAAAATAAACGTAGTTTTCCAAACTCCTTTACAGTAGACCTTGCGTTACAAGATTCAACAACAAGAAAAATGCTGGTATAAGAAAAAGTTGAGTTCAGTTTCAGTAATGCATCAGCATCATATCCAAGAATATTCCAAATATTTTCAGAAGTCTTTGTCTAAAATATAAATAAACTATGAGGGGAAACATGGAATGGACATTAGAATATAGGAATTGGAGCAGAAAGTAAACCCAACCCCTGAAACGTGCAGTGATTATGGTGGCTTGCTGTGGTCTGTAATGTCTCTGACTTCATATTAGGATAGGTTTTATCCTATTTTACCATAGCTTAGTGAACTCTAAAGGGGCTGCACTTCATCTCAGCCGGTAATGGGCCTATGTGTTGTGACAGCGGGATGAGCTGAACATTTGACTCATTACAATGCATCTGAATGTTTTCTTAATCCTCTGTGAACAACACAAACCATGCACAGTTTTCAATGTCTATTAATGTTTTGTAAAAAATAATAATAATTCAAAACCATGTAATTTCAAAAGTGCATGACAAGTTTTTATTAGCGCATACAAATAAGGATTAAAGACCTTAACAATACAGCTTCCAAATTATTTGCTCTTACAGCAACAAAATAACCCCCGGGAATAAAGTCAGTCACTTTTTTTAACCTCCAAAATTAATTTTATTTCACACTTGTAAATTTGAAAAGGCGTAAGTACGAATAACAACTTTTAAACTTGTGATATTAAGCCCAAAAGTATATTGTGTGAAACAGTAAGGTGCGGGAATGTTACAGCAAGTTGTTTAACAACACGTAACAAATCATAAAATAATGCTTGGGAGAGAAACAGATTAAAATATTGTTCATTTCCACAGATAGACAAGCAGTTATATTACAGGTCATCTCATATAGGCTACTTAAGGTTAGGGTTAACATAGCAAACATGCCAGTAGGAAATTTAACCCCGTAATTTACAAATGTACAAAGGGAAATCTTGAATCCTGACTACCCAGAATTAAAGACCAGGAATAGTCTAGGATTTCAAGTAATACTGCAGTCCAATATGTTGTTTTGATCCCTCCCAATGCTAATGCTAACAACAAACATTTACAGCAAATTACATTTCAAGTATGCCCGATCAGCACCAGCGGAAGCTTCCGTATAATGTGATGATTTTAAGATGCTTTAGAGGCGTGGATTTGCATATCATTTCATATGTTGCATAACTGGTACAAGTGATCATTTAAAATCTTGGCATGCTATATTCCTACAAACACTGAATGATCTACAGTGGGCCGGCGCCGCCACTTTCGTCTGCACTTGGGTGTAACATCAAAGCTGGTGACCATCAAGACATGTGCTTTACAGAGGTTAACATGACGCTCTAGCCGTTCAGTGACCATCTCCAAAGCCTCTAAGTGCTCCAGGGAGTCTACCTCAAACGTTTGCCATAAGTCAACTGCAAAATACATCACACAAATAGCATTATAATTATTGATAAGACACGAGTTTAAGCAGAACCATAAACAACCCTACAGTTTTCTATCCTGCATTGCTTAATATTAGGTAATATACATAAGCAAATATTTTTAACCCTTACATTCACGGGTCCATTTTCCTTGGTCCACCATCAGATGATGCTTGGCATGTTCCAGCTCCCTCTTGAGAGCATTATACTTGAGTCTCACCTCTGCTATTCTCTGCTGTCGATGCTCCAGGAATTTCAGCTTTGCACTAAAGAGGACTATACCCTGGAAATGTGGATGACAAAATGTCAGTTTCCCTCCATTTAAAATGTGAGAGATCTGAGATTAGCATTTGGCCTTCCATCACACCACAGGTTTTTATACTAATGTAATATTACAGTTTTTCTATAATACATTTCAAATGCGTACAGACAAAATCAAACACTGTATGCAGCTAAGCTATCTTGTGTCTAAATCAAATCTTGCCTTTAAAAAACCCACAAAAACCACCAAATACACAGATACACTGAATTACACACTGTGAGATTTATTAAAACAAAACGACCATGGTCGTTTACTACAGTGAATGAGCAGCTATACATTTTAAACTCTGCAACATAATAGTACTACATAAATTAAAGTGAATATTCACGTAAAAAAAGCAATTCCTGAACATACAGTTTTGGTTTTGTGATAACAAGGTTGTTTTGATAAAAATGAATCATCATTTGAGAAACAGCATCTTTGCTACTATAGGGGGAAAAAAACATTGTACACAACATTGTCAAATTTTCCTATATGTGTAAAGTACATTGTTAAGTGAAAACTGTAAAAATATACATTTGTAAAACAATATAACAAAATATTTCCCAAATATTCAACAAAAAGTTGCATATTTTTCAGTAATAGAAAAAAACAAAAACAGGATGTGTAAAGATTTGCAAAATCACATTTACTCTGAATCAGTATCTAGTCTCTTATTTGTGTCAGAGTAAAAAAAAAAAAAGGTAGAAGAAACAGATTTGCAGTTTGTGTGAAATGGGAATAATGTTTAAAGTTTTTAGAAATTAGTCTTAAGGCTGGAATACACTCTTAAATCTGAACAGATTTCGGCACTTTCACATTGTTCTGAACACTAACTCATGTTGCTAGAAGACGCATGACAAATTAAATCGTGTTCTAAAAACATGTTTTGATATCCTCTGATTGGATGGAAGCCTATTCAATTCAATGTCCATCACACACTACACGATTTTCAGTGAAATTAGTCAACTCTGACTGCCAAAAATCTGCAGATTCGCTCTGACTTTCACCAACTAACGCAGACTCCTTCAGACTGCAAATCGGGGAAAAAACGTGAGCAAAAGTCATGTAGGGTATTCCAGCCTTCACTTTTAGAAAACGGCGTTGCAAGTCAGGATACCTGGCTAAAGAACAGATTTTCATGCCTAAGCAATTGAGTCAAGCGCTACCAATTTAACGGACCATACAACAACAGCAGTTTGTGAATGAAATACAAAGCAAACAGACAGACAGACAATTTTTTCATTGACACATTTTGAACCTCACCTTGTTCCCTGCCCCACCTCTCTTCTGTACGCCATCTACATTATCAATCTCATAGACTTTAATTTCATAAGATTCAGAAACACCCCGATCCACCCTGTGCGTTTTGGGCCCACTGAAGGATCTCTTCAGTGAATGGAGGTTGTCTTGAGATGGGCGTCTTATACTGGATCCTGTGGACAAAGACAATACAGTGAAAACCATGTTTTATGCTAGAATACACTGAATTAGAAAATTCCTGACCTATGTTGGTTCTTTTCTTGGTACTTCTCGCCCCTTTAGCAGCACCGAGTGAGCAGCTCTGATCGCTGATGGAGTTGTGCGTTGAACTGCTGCTAATTGTAGCCTCACTGTCTCTTAGCATGCTTTCATAGCCACTACTGACCATACTGCTTCTGTTATAGAGTAAAGCCGTTTTACACATGGCAGGAGGCAGCTCTCCACTGAGAACACTGGTGGTGTCGCTGGCATGGCCGCTGCAGTGGTGTGGTGTCCGTGGAGCTGTGATCCGACTGTACGGGGATGGCAACGTGTGAACGAAAGGTTTCATCATCCCCAGTTCCTCACTTTCATCTAAATCAGATCCACTTTGACTAAAAGCGGAAAGAGAGTCTCTACTGCTTCTTAAAAGTTCAACTCGTCCCTTCCTGACTGCACCAGGCGACTTCAAACCACCGCTGTCCTGACTTCGGGATAGGGAGTGTGTTGACCAGAAGCTTTGGTTGACAGCTGCTCCGTTAGGAGAAAAGCTTGAGCTCCTGTTGATCGAGCGTTTAGTGGGTTTGGGGGACAAGTTTGGCATCTTCTGGATCTTTGAACTGGGCAAGAATTTATTAACAGCTGTTGTCTTAGAGTGGCCATTTTTGGATGGCCGGGATGCATCGTTGACATCGTGCATGGGGAAGAACTGTGGAACCCTCCCAAGACTCTGACTAGCTCGGCACCTTACAAAGTCCTCAAAGTCTTCTTTAAAGCCCAGTGGGCTGGGTTGAGCTGGAAAATATTGTTCATCTAAAAGGCCTTTAGGAGGCATATCGATGAAAGCGGTCTCCTCAAGGTACTTGCTTTTAAGTCTTGGTGAGCTAGAATTACCTTTCAAGCTTCCTGTTGAGTTCCCGATATTACTCTCGTCCCAAGTTTGGCTCCTGCCGGATAATGCTTTCAGTTTTGCATTAAATAACTTGCTGCTCTCTTCAAAATGAGATTTCGTGTTGGTCTTAGTTTCAGTAGCCTGGTTTAGTGTTGCACTTCTGGCTATTGCAGACTCATCTTTTGTTTCTTTCCTTTTAAGGGTGGGACTGTTTGAGTATGTTGATGGCACATTGTCTTTGTTCCATTCCACAAGTCCGTCTTTCTTGGCTTGTTGTTTCTTCTTAAGAGTTTCTTTTGGACTCTTGTGTTCTGTGTTCATTTGTGGGCCATTCTTGATGTCTTTCTTTTTGTTTTGACACAGCCAGCTCTGCTCAGGTGTAATTTCACAAGCATTTTGTCGTGACTTCAAGACTTCACAGTGAGGGTCAAGTTTAGCATTGGCTCCTCTAGGCATCTCCTTCACATCTTCTGTCAGCGGCACGTCAGACCAACTATCATGCTGCGGCCGGTCTATTGAATCAATGAAGCCGCTTACCTTGTCGATATGTGGATTGATTTTTGTGAGTCGTGCAGCTGCATCAGATGAGGCCATGGAGACTTCATTCTCTGATGTTTTTGCATTAGAGGTGCTATAAAAACTTGCTGTTTGTTCTTCACCTATGCTGCCGATAATCCTTACAGACTGACTTCCTGGCGTTAAAGCCTGGAGAGAGTGAGACTCATGAATACTTAATATTTTTGCCTTTCCTTGGTCATTGGCCCCGTTTATTGTTACCTCCTCAACCACGGTATACACAAGCTCATCATGTCCATTAAGATCGAGCGGCTGCTGAACGGTCACGGTAATGGTGGCCCTCATCTCTCGCTGCTTCTTTGCTGTGCAATGTAAAACATCACCATTCAAAGAGGCAGAAACAGCCGGTGGGGAGCTCAAATTGGAAGATAGGGATGATGAAAAAGAAGAGGACGAAGTAGACCTCGGAGAACTCTTGCCGACAGGAGAAATTCGTGTCTCGGGTTGCATTGGGAAATCTGATAATCTTTTCTTTCCTTGATCTTCTAATTTCAGAGATAATGAAGTGGGCATCATGTCCATTTTTTTATTATAAGTCTTATATTTGCTTGGAGATTGGCCAGACAGCATAGGACTTAGGATAGCATAGTCACTTGGTTTGACTGCATCTAGCTGTGTTGGACATGTATGAATAATCTGTGAATTGGAAGTACTTGGAATTTCCTCACTGTTATGAATGATGGCAAATGCTTTTGATAAGTTTCCTTGTCTGGTACTATCATATTCCCTTTTGCTCATTGCTTGGATGTCAAGTGAATTAGATCTCTTTTCAATTTGGCTTAAGTGAGGTGCTTTTTTCATTGTGTTCATTTCCGGATCTTTGCACAGATCCAACTCTGTTCCGTCTATGTTTCCCAGTCGATTCTGGAGTTCTGCAAATGTGTTGCACTTCAGACACTCAAACTCTGATTTATCTTGCAATATTGTTGGTGTCGACTCTTCTCTAGTCTTTTCTTTTGATATCTGCTTCATGCGATTGGCAATTGGTGGAGAGATTTCACAAAACTTCATCAACGAGAGCTTCTTGGACTCTAATTTGCTCTTGAGTAAGGACGGAATAATAGGCAAAACCTCTCTGCTTCTATTTGTAACCTCTTTATCTACGAGGCCAGAAGGATCAACAGAGATAATGGTATCACAGGACTTGTCACTCCCAGGGTAAAATGCTGGATCACTAGAGAAACCAGGAGAGGAGAGATCTTGATCCAGTGTTCCTGTAGATTGGAATCTCAGCTTGGTGGAATTATTAACTTTCCTCTCATTGCCTAAGCTCCTTCCCCCGGGTGAGCTTGAGGAAGATTTCTGAAAGAAAAAGTACAACTCTGCCTAAAGTTCACATCACTTGAAAACTAGAGAAGAGAACACATCCATAATAATAGATATATTTAATAATATTTAAGCATACCCTTGTCTTCCTTTTCTGCCTTCGCATTCGAGACACAGTCTGCATTGTACAGAGGCTTTCTGTAATGTCTTCAGCCGAGGTGGATATATGGGCAATAATTGTTGTGGAGCAGTTGACATTGCTCAGAGAGTCTTGCAGGAGCATGGCTAATTTACTTTCCCTGTTTTGAACAAATTATAACTGGTAATTAAATGTAGCTACTTAAATACATTTTACTTCATTAAATCACTCTGATTTTTGTTCATATACTATTAGTGAATTTCTACTTTTATAATTGAGATATACACAAACTTACCTATTAGGGACATGTTTATGACTGTTGAGGTTGGCTGTGATAAAGTTTCCAAGCTCAGCGAGGCAAACTCCACAGTTGTTTTCACCCCTCTCCCCCACACAGCTCCCTAAATCGATCAGGCTCAGCTTGCTTTGATCCACATTCACTGAGGAAAATATATATTTAATTAATACAAGAAATTAAACAAATAATATCAAAGAAGCACTGGATGTTATGAAAAAGATCATATCATGAATGCAAATCAATCTATTTTATTATGCTGATCATAAAAAAGTAAACAATTTCACTCTCCTGGGTCAGTATTGCATGAGAAATGTTATCCAATAGCCTTTGTTTACCAAGTAAGGTTTATCAAGATTTGTAATGAGAATCTGCACATGAACATACAAATTATTGAACAACATATTAGAGACATGAAAACGCAACTGAACTCACTCCCAGACTTGGTGCTGCTTCCTATGTGCTGTTGGCGAACATGCAGGGTGAAGAACATGTGACAACAGTGTAGTGGTCTCCCTCCACTCTCCAACGTCCCACTGCGAGATGCAATAGCTGCATCTAATAGGAAAGCTGCTCTTTCTGGGGTTGGAGCGTTTAGCACACTGTTGTTGCAGAGCTGGAATTAAGATAACAAAATCCAATAAGGAGACTCTCAAGTAAATGGGAATGTCTCAATTAACATATCAATGAGTATGAATTAAATTTGTATTGATTGCTCATGAACGTTGATAATATGCCATGCAAAAGGTTTATAAACAGAATGTTTTTAAAGGAATATCATAGCTACAAGTTTAGCTCAATCAACAGGATTTGTAGCATAATGCTGATTACCACAAAAATGATGTGCACTTGTCCTCTTTTCTTTCTAAAAAGCACAAATCTGGGTTACGTTGAGGCACTTACAATGGAAGTGAATGGGGGAAAATCCACAAACATCAAAATGCTCCCTTTTTTAATAGTATAACCACAAGAATCAAATAATATTTGTAATACTTTGTATTACATCAAACTTAAGAATGTAAGAATTATGCTTTAAAAAGAGCAAGTGCCTCCTTTCACTTCCATTATAAGTGAAGTGCCTAATTCTTTTTAATTTATTTTGAAAGTAATAATCAACATAATGCCATAAATGCTGTCGATTGCACTTCACACTTAAAGAGATACTCCACTTTTTTTTGGAAATAGGCTCATTTTTGAATCCATTCAGCCGATTTTTTTTATATTTAGAAGAATATCAGTAACCAGAGAGTTTCTGGTCTCATTGACTTCCATAGTAGGAAAAAAATATACTATGGAAGCCAATGAGACCAGAAACTATATTGTTACTGATATTCTTCTAAATATTAGAAAATCAGCTGAATGGATTTGAAAACGGTAAAACTCAACAGTTTAAATCTGGGGCAGTGGTAAAATGTGGCCTATTTCCAAAAAAAGTGGAGTATCCCTTTAACCCTGAATATTCCTTTAAATGCTACATATGAGCACTTGCTTGAACAGTCAAAGTAACATTATAGGGAATTTTTCCATGCAATTGTGCCCTCACGTTATCAGGCACTATTTTTTGCAAAGCTGCTCTGGAACAATATGCATTGCGAATAGAGCTGTACAAATAAATAGAAGGTAAAATGAAATGAATTACCTGTATTCCACAGACAGGGTCCTCTTTGAGGAAAGCTTCTGGCTTATAGGTCTCCTTGCAGTTGCTTGTGTCAACATCAGAGAATAAATCCCTAATGGTATTGTTTTCCCCACAGACCTCTACAGCTGAGACAGAAACTGATATGTTTGCCCATGTCTTGTCTTTCTTCCTGTTGATGAGCTTGAAAAGCCAAGAGATAGCACATGGAATGACTCCAAGGCTTTGAGTACAACCATCATGACCAATCATGGTGTAAGACATTCCTGTAAAAAGAGGGTGAGAATGCCATTTTTCATAACATACCATCATTAGACAGAAAAGGGTTTTGCTAAATAAATCATCATTTGGAATGACAAAAAGCCACAGCTTGCAATATGGTTAAATACATGGTGAATGACTTTACAAACTGGGGTGTAAAATGCGTTGTGGCAATGTCATGACCAATTAAATGTAAAGCACTTTACTGGCAGTCAAGCATGGGCCGGTTTAAAAGATTTATGATGTCTGGCTGGGAGCCAAGGGCCAACATGGAGGCCGGGTAATTCAATCTAGCTAATAGAGAATGATGTCATACTCCAAATGCCATGTAGAGATTGTTGTCATGATTTTAGGAGGATAACAATTAATAACCTTAAAGGAGAATTACCATGATGACCTACTGTGTAGCCTCTATGCCATCTCTTGAAGGAACAATATTTAATGCATATTCATTGACAGGGCCCACAAGTCACATGAAGTGGCAAAAACAGTTGAATCTGAACCTTTCTGCCACAACACCATTTGACACAGATCTATGGAAGCCCATTTCTGCCCCAGAGTAAAAAATAAAAGGTAATTGTGAAATTGTGAAAAGACATATTTAATGTCACTGAGTGAGATGAGATGTATAAATTTGCAATCTGAATAATTTTTTGTGTGTGAGAAATTATATACATTTGTATATACATTGTAAATACATTTATTATGAGTAAAAAAAAAAACTCTATTGGGAGACATTTAAAAAAAAACACTATTGGCAGATAAAGTGCTGATATGTATGCATTTTATGTAAGTAGTCTGTTATACTGTAATTATCAGAAGTTAACAGAATAACAACAGCACCAAATTGCATATTTTTGCTCAGTTTGAGCAGTCTGACCTACTTGTCATTACATCATACTATTTGGGTCATAAAGGCCTGATGTATCAAATATGTTACAAAACATAAAACACTTTTTTTTATCTTTTTAGATTTTCTTACATATATACTTACATATATTTTGTCTTAATGTTCAATAAAAGGTTCCATTTAAAAAGTTAATCTTATTTTTATAACCATTTCTATACACCAGGCTTTATAGGATATAACTCACTTACCCACACTGGTTTGACCAAAGCTTAGGATGCAACCATCCGCCCCTGCAACCACACACTGAAGCACCTCACACAAGCTGTTCTCACAAACTTCAGCCTGAAAAATAATCAACTTTTTTTCATCAACATTTTAAGGACCTTTTCCCGGGATTTGCCATTATTTAGCCAAAGTGCATTTAATACAGAGAAAAATCAGCTCAATTGATTGTGCTGGAGAAGAATATCCAGATATTGAATATCTGCACTCAAGTGACCAAATCTGAAAGTGTTGCAGATGTTTGGATAGTATGACTCAGATGGGCTCCAGACATTAGACAGATCAGTTTTCATATCATGAGACAGAAATAGCAAAGCAGTGGCCCTGACCTGGGTTGAATCGTGGCCAAAGGCAGCATCAAAGGTGAAGGTCTTTGAGGAGACTGTAGTGCCAGCAGTCTGTCTCTGAGGGGTGAGGGTGGGTACATTCAGCAATGTGATCTGTTTCTTGTGCGGGTCCAGTTTGAAAGAGTAGGACTGGGAGGGATCTGACTCAGGAACCGAACAGACTCGCAGCATCACTTTGACCTAAAATTGGGGGGAAAACACAAAACACTATACTAATTAGACATTACATATAAATCTAAAATATTTTTTAATCTACATTTAAAAAGTTCTCAATCCCATAAGGCAAAAATACATAGTCAAATTTATACTTTTAAATATTATTAATGGCCAAATATATTTTGCTAATAGTTTAAAAAAAATAATAAATAAGTTTAAGTTACTTAAGTAACTTACTTAAGTTTGTTACTTAAAATGTTACTTAAGTTTAAGTTACATATTAAATATAATCTTATTATACATATTTTGCCCATCAATATACATTTATATGTCCGAACTAAAAAAAATGTAATCAATTTTGCACATTACCCAAAATGTATTTTAAGACTGAATGTATACTTGCTCCTTAAAGTACTTTTGGTAATATATTTAGCATTTGAATGTTAAAATAATAGTTAGGGACGTTAAAACGATTAAACACGATTAATCACATCTAATATAAAACTTTTTTTTGTTTACATGTAGGTGAATATATATTATTGTTGTTATTATATATATTATATATTATATAAGTTTTACTTTTTCCCACACCATTTCAAGCATAAGTGTATACGTTATTATTATTGTGCATCTTTTCTGTTGTCACACTATTTTGCTTGAAATAAATAAAATAAATTGTATTTATATATAATTAAATATAATGTATGTGTATTAATATTATTATTATTATAATATTATTAATAATAATATTATTATGTATTAATATTATTATATTAATACATATTATGTGTGTACAGTGTATATATATATTTACACACACACATACACACACATATATAATATATATTAATGTAATAATTTATATATACACACATGTAAATAAAAACTTTTATGTTAGATGCGATTAATCGAATTGACAGAACTAATAATATATAAATATATACATGAACATTGTTACTTATGAAGTCCTAAACCAGAGATCAAAATCATCAGTGCCATACCTTTAATTAGACAAAAATGTCCTTGCTTCTGAAACTATAACTATAACAGTAATATTTAAAACATAAAATATTATTTTTTTAGAGCATGATGTCATGGAACACACGACTAAGCCAAGTTTAGGTTAATGCTTTGTCTGATATCGAATGCATTTGTGATATTATCTTCTCTGTTCTGAGTCTGTCAAATCATATTTACACGAAATGAATTATTTAAGAACCCATTATCTCTGCTACAGTGGCTGGATGTGCAAAGCTAAGTGCGATCTTTCTACCAGGTGCTACCCTGAGAGCGATAATTTGAAACTCAAGATGAGTACCATCAGTGTGAACTGTGAAGAGTGAAGTCAGTATGAGCTACAATTAAACTAAATTGATTTCCCTTTCTCAAGGAGGTGGTGTGATGGAATGGGAGGGCCATTAACATCACGTTCAAAGGTCTTCTCTAAAATGTGAGGCATCCAGAAAACAGCCACATCCCAAGGTCAGACTGAAGGACATCTAAACCATCTGGTTGTGGTATGTAAGTAAGGGACATTTGTCCTCATTCAGAAAGTTGTAGACAAAGACACATGTTTAAACTAATAGAAGCTGTTTCATTTACAAGGAGCTCATGTGGGCTGCCATATTAACATCACATGACCCACCAAATACTACTTGTTCTTGGTAACACTGTTGTTGTACACCTTTGCTCACAGAATAAATAAATAATGGGGGTATGAGAACAGGGAATTTTTACTATGGAAGCTGTATTCCGTCACTAAGGGGGAAAAAAGTTACAATTTTTCAAAATTTCAGTGAGATTTTTAAACTCTATACTAATAATTTTATTCAGCGAGGATGCATTACATTGATCAAAAGTGACAGAAAAGACATTTAGAATGTTACAAAAGCTGTTCTTTTGCACTTTTTATTCAAATATCAATAAGCACAACTGTTTTCAACATGAAGAAATGTTTCTTGAGAGTCAAATCATCAATTTTTAGCATTTTAGAAGCGACTTCCAGAGAGACTTACAAGAGACTCATAAGAGACTTAATTCAAAAAGCATTAAAAAAATCTTTCCACGGTAGTGTAAATTTCACTTTATTTCTCACAACTCTATTTGTCTGGTAACACTTTAGTTTAGGGTCCAATTCTCACTATTAACCAGTTGCTTATTAGTTGAGTTTAGAGCTTTATTAATGCCCATGGGGCAATTAGTTTGAGCTCACATGGTGCCTCGCATAAATACACTTAGCACATACATTTAATACACAATAAAAAAAATACAAAAATAAATAAATAAAAACATCACCTAAGTTAATTACATAGACGTATTGCTTCAGGCATAAAAGTAAATTTGTAGCGATTTGTAGAGCATTCAATTGCCTTTAGACGTTGTCCAAGTCCGAATGCAACGGGTGTGTACTATCCTATTATTTTATGAGCCATCCTCAGCACCTGCTTATTGGCATGCATATTACACTGATTTATACAATCAGTAAAAATCATAAAATAAACAATATTACTACATACAGTTGCTATTATATTATTATCTCTAATTTATTAGCAAATGAACAGCGACGATAATCTAACAATGCAATATTACGTAATAACAGAAGCACCCATAAGTTTTGGTGTTTTTTAGTAGAAAAATTAAACAATTTTTAATTAAAAAAAATTAAACAATTTGTGGTAAACATTTCAGCCATACCTTCCCCATCCCAGGTGTTTCCTTGCTCTTACTAGCAGGTAGAAAAATGCTGGCTGGTACTGGAGGAGGAGACTTCTGCATGAGGCTACTGAAGTTTGTCAGCTGTTGGGAAGCACCACTCTCTGAGAACTGCCTCCCTCTTCTAACCATTACATTCAGCTTTTGTGCAGCCCTGTGAATATTCAAAGATGACAGAGTTTAGCTTAGATGCATGTACAGTATCAAATCATTTCTTCCGTTTCAACAAATCACACCTTTACTTTTTTAATTACCTGACAAAGAAAGACAAGGCAGCAGAGGTTCCTGAAGGGAGCAGAGAGGACATACTGGAAGAACGGGCTGGCTGTGAGGCGCCGTAGTTGCATAGGGCTGTAGAGGTCACATTCTCCTTCTCAAACACCTTTCCTGCATGTAAAGGACTCTGGGAGGACTGAGAAAGAATCATCTTCACTGATATTGTCAAGCTCAATAACTAGAATAGGTTTTCATGCTTGAATGTCCAAAAAACATATATTTTTCACATAGTTGCAGCACCTCTCTTGCCAGTCTGTCAGTAACGCTCAGGGCTGGGTTTCCCGAAAGCATCGTAAGCTTAAGTTAATCGTAGAACAAATGGTCTCTACGATCAACTTAGGCTTACGATGCTTTTTGCTTTTGCCGAAAGCATCGTTAGCCAACTGGTCGCAAGTTCCGTCGTTATCAGCATAGTTCAACGAGTCGGTGTTTCCCGAAACCATCGTTCCAACGAACATTCGCAAACAGCATCGCAAAGTTGTGCGGTTTGAACAACAGCTTTGGATCTCTGGTTAGAGGGATGGATTCTATATTGCATGACATTTGGAGGTAATAAATCCTTATCTTGAGCAAAATAAGCAAGCTGACATTCAGTACAAGCGGTGCCTTTTATTTAGAATACATACTAATGTAATTGTACATCTTTTAGTATTTCAAAAGATTTGAAGTAACGTGTTTGAAGAGTGCGTATGTGCGAACGTGCTCTACTATGTAAGAACGAGCCAAATATTGAGTCTGAGAAAAAAAACAACTGAGAAAAATTAGAAATAGTCCTCAGATGACATGTCTGTAATTTATATAAAACAAATCTTGCGTTCCCTTTGGAGTGCTTTGTAACTTTTCAGACCTTTTTCATGCTCAAACAGCAACATTACACATTTAAAATGTAAAAAATGTCCTCTTTAATACAATAAACTGGACGGACAATATGTTAATTCAGTTTATTGTTCTAAATAAATAGTAACTAAAAGTCTTTCTGACACTGATTTAAAAATGACGGCTGTGTAAACACTACGCCGTGAACGTGAGTGTGTTTGATGCACTGCAGTCAGACACTATTATTATGTATTGCCACTACAAGCTGAGTCATATGTGCAGATGAAGTCATGAACCTTCTTATAAGTGTATCAGCATACAGGCGATGAATGAGGCTGCAGGCGCTGACAGGCCGAGTCATACTTCAGTCCAAAATCTAATATTCAGACTGAATTTTGCCTATGCTTGAGAAAACCATTGCTTGCCTGCAGTCATCCACATATCCCAAGTCACTCCCTGCCTTTATGTCTCATCAATGCTTTTATCCAGCCATGCGAAATAGGAGCCCCCTCTTTGCCCCCCCTCCATTGGCAGAATGTAACGCCAATTAGCACTGGGAGCAACCCTCGGGCAGAGACGGCAATATTGCCTCAACTGTTATTCTTTCCTCTGTCTCTTCTTTCTTTCTCTCACTTATCTGTCCTCTAGAGAGAATCTCAGATTTAATTATGTGCACATCTTATTTCCGCAGTTACGCTTTCCATTAAAACATGCCTGTCAGTGTTGTGTTTTCGCTATTTCAAATAAAATACTACAAAAAGCATCTTGTCTGCTTTTACTTCGTGCAATAATCTTTTTTTTTTTTTTTTTTTTTTAAATTCCACTTCAAGGACAGAGAATTTACCTTGGATGTTTGTGTAATGAAATGGAGCTGGACTAATGGACTAGGTCTGCCGTCGAGCTCTCGGTCAGCGTCGCATAAAGATCTGGTGAGTGCTTATGGAGCTGTCTGAGACGTTCACTCTCTGCCGCACTTTCGTAATGCATTCTAGTTTCATCTGTATTTACGAGCGCTGTGTATGAATATTTCACTGGTCATTAAATATTACAGCGATATTGATCAAGCATCTTTTTTTCCTGACTGGCTTCTCTGTGGTATGGATAAAATGTGGGTTTAACCATTAACCAGAAAAGTAGGCTACTGTATGTTCTGCATCTGGAGATATAATCAAGGCTGATTAGAGGGTTGTATATCATATGATGGCACACATGACGTGTGTCCTGGTAAGTCCTGGTGGGCAGACATAGCTATGTATATTTAATTGATATACTCTTACATTATGCACACAGATGGTGTACTGGATATAAAATATGAAGAGCACATAAGGGCTTCTTTCTTAACATTATTTGGAAAAGGAATACAAGGCTGTATGCGTCACATGATGCTTCAGGAATCATTCTGATATGGTGATTTGATGCTCAAGAAATTGTTAATATTATCAATTTTGAAGTGGCTGTGCTTCTTATTATGCTTATTTTTGCAGAAACCACACTGTAAAAAATATTTTCATGATTTGTAATCACATTTTTTTCTTTTATCAAATCAACTTAGACAATTTATGTAGTTCAGATAACATAATATTTTGAGTTTCTGGTGATTAAATTAATCTCATTCATTGTATCAACTCAATTTTTTCATTTCAATGAACTTTTAAGACGTTAATGAATTTTAAGGCAACTAGGTTACTTATTTTTTTAAGTTAAACCAACATTTTTTAGTGCATGATACATTTTTTTCAGGATTATTTGAATAGAAATTTCAAAAGTACATGTTGACATGTAATTTGTAAAAGTCTTATTTTCTATTGGTTTTGGTTATCAATTTAATGTTTCATGGCTATACAAGTGTTTATTTCTATCTTCTGTCTATCTACTTTTTGAATGGTAGTCAATGTTTAGTATTATGAAAGTGTTCACCAAAAGTAGCTTAGCCAAAAAATGAAAATTCTGTCATCTTTTGCTCTCTATCACAACTTAAAACTTTAAACTTTAAACTTGTGTGGTTTTCTTTCTTCTGTGGAACACAAAATAATACAATTTGAAGAATGTTTTAACTGTTTTTGTCTGTACAATGAATTTGGGTCCAAAACAACACTGGACCCAACTAACTTTCAATGTATGGACAAAAAACACTGAAACATTTTTTAAAATATCTTCTTTTGTATCCCATCCCACACAAAAAAAGAACGACATAAGGCTGATTAAGCGATGACAGTATTAACATTTTTGGGCGTACCATCCCTTTAAAGACTTAAACGGCAAAAATATTATCAAATACATAAAAAAAGTTTGACCTACCTTTTGAGATATTGAATTGATTCCTTTACATGAAGACAGGGGCCACAGGGACTCCAAATGTTGACGTCCTTTAATCCAGCAATCCGTCCTTGCATTGCTGGGCCTCTGATGGGGGTCTGAGACAACAGATCGGTGGTTTGAGGTTCTGGGGAGTGTTTGTGAGCCTGAGTCAAGGCTTGTGGATAAGATGTTGGCAGTGGTAGGTGGAGCCCATATGGCCCGATCCTGGGTGAGGATTGTGCGGATAGCCTCCTGCTTCAACTGGCTAAAGTGAGTGGAGCAGACGCCACAGCGTCCGTCCACGTTGCCCCAGGCGTCTACAGTACTACCAGGTGGTTTCATGCTCTCATAAAGATGAATGAAGACTTTGGGATCCTGAGGCACAGAAAGAAAAATGTTGCTGGTGACTGTTAAGTAAAACGAAGTAAGTAACTACACAGATTAATAGTGAAAATTGCTGATACACAGTATAAATATTTTATGAAATTTTAAAAATTATATTATATAAATATTGTAACATTATTTTCAAACCACAAACCCCTCTGGTGACATGATAAATAATCACATCCTTCAGTCTTATAGGGATGGTTCACCCAAAAAAAAAAATGAAAATTGTGTCATCATTTACTCACCTTTGTGTTGTTCCAAATCTGTATGAGTTCCTTTGTTCTATTGAACACAAAAGAAGGTATTTTTGAAGAATGTTGGTAATGACATTGGCCTCATTGACATTGACCAAAGGGGAAAAAAATACTATGGGAGTCAGTGGGTATGATCAACTGTTTGGTTACCGACATTCTTCAAAATATCTTCTTTTGTGTTTAACAGAAGAAAGAAACTCACAGGTTTGGAACAACAGTAGGGTGAGTAAATGATGCCACAATCTTCACGTTTTTGGGTGATCTGTCCCTTCAAAAATCTCATCCCTCCTTTATCCTAAATTCAGTAATTGCTCAAACATCTTAAATTTCGTGGAAAAAAGAGGTCAGAATTTTTGAGGACAAGAAAGCATCCACTAACCTATTTCTCCCCACCACCAAATAAAAAGACACATGCCAGCCGCAAATACATCTCTATCTCAGCTGATCACATTATAGTGTAATTTACTTTATTTTTCTCCTCTGTAGGAACTGAGTTTTCATATTCCATCCATTATGCCCCATATTCCAGTGCAATCAGGGCTAGACGAGTGTCACATGAATCTCAGACCAACTGCAAAAGCTAATCGATTTAAACTCGTTTCAAGGGAATGGGGAAAAAAAGCATGCGCCTCATATGTAATTGAAATATGAGACATACTCTGGCTGATGGGGCGGACATGCATGCAGCAGTCCACCGGAGAGACCACCCAACACAAGGGCATTTGGTCCTCAACTCTAAATGCATTGAAATGCTTGTATTCCTTTCTAAATGCATGCAAATTAATGATATAAGAAATATAGCCTACTTACTTTGGTAGAAAGGTTTCCGTCAATTACTTGTTTAAACGCTTCCCCTTTGAATATGTTGAAATGAGAGATGCACTTTTTACACAAATGTCCCGTGTCGAATGACGTCTCTCTTTTCGTCCCTGTGGACTTGATGGAGTTGTATTCAGGAGGGTAACCGTTTAACGATTCTTTGGCCCATTTTGACCGTGAGAGAGTGTGAGTGAGGGGTGTCGGGAGTGAGCCCGCGAACCCTGTCCAAGGTCCTGCATGGGAATCATATCCTGAAGAGCCTGCGCCTTCGGGCGTGGGACGCTCCTTCTGCGCTGCATGTCCCTTCAACACGGGACTCATTTTAACGTTGGTCATCTGTGAAATAGGCTAAACATGCAAGCCGAGTCATTTTTAAGGATCTTGGGCAAATTATATATTTTAACATTTTATTAAATATGAATCATATTGAGATATTATGGAATATAACTGGCCTTACAAATGATGATATTACTTATATTCAATAACGAGGCATGCAGAAGTATAGTCACCTACTTACCATAAACCGTTGACTGCCTGTTGTTTCACAATATCCTGTTTGATTCTTCATATTCGCTCAATAAAGCTCCTATATCCTCCACAACAAGTTTCCATTCGTTTTAAATGAAAAAAAGATCAAGAAAAATTCAAGAAAAATCTGACTTTACTTGGTTTAAAAAAATGTGATGTCCTAGAGGCGCATGCAGTGATTTCGCGCACCGCGCCTTTATGTTGTTGGACAACTTGGTGATCCGGTGAGTAGCGGTGAATATTTGATTTATATTTACGCATATAAAGTCCTTGAATTAAATCACCCCCTGCGAGCTGTTATACAAGTTACCGTTTTTTTATTTTCTACTCCTTGTTAACTTTCCTTAGGAAAACTGTGCATGCAAGGCCTATGATAAAAATTAATCTATTCGTCCTTGGGTTGTTGTTGGATTAGGTCTTCATCTTTTTTTGTTCTCCGTTTACAGTACCACCCACTTGTCATTGCTCTAAGGAATAGATCACACTGTTGTGGTTACCGTATGTTAAGATTAACCATGAGATAGCGCCACCCATCGACCAAAATGTAGATCTGCAAACGGCAGTGCTGCCTACATGCGGATTGATTCAAGTCAAGTCAAGTCAAATATATTTATATGGCGCTTTTCACAATACAGATTGTATCAAAGCTGCTTCACAATATCAATCAAGACAACAGATTTAGTTGACCTGATTGTTGACGGGGCTCTCTCCCTCTCTGCCATACTCTCTCACTTTCACTTTCTCCTCACAATCATGACGTAGATCCACAGCTAGATCAGAAGCATGGCTACAACATCCTTCATAAGATCTCCAACCCGATCTCACGGGATAGGGTAGGACCTATCCCGTCCTTCGGATGAGACGTTAAACCGAGGTCCTGACTCTCTGTGGTCATAAAAAATCCCAGGATGTCTTTCGTAAGAGCAGGGGTGTAACCCCGGCATCCTGGCCAAATTTGCCCAGTGGCCTCTGTCCATCATGGCCTCCTAATCATCCCCATATACACCAATTGGCTTCATCACTGTCTCCTCTCCACCAGTAAGCTGGTGTGTGGTGAGCGTTCTGGCGCACTATGGCTGCCGTCGCATCATCCAGGTGGATGCTGCACATTGGTGGTGGTTGAGGAGATCCCCCCCTTCTATGTGAAGCGCTTTGAGTGTCCAGAAAAGCGCTATATAAATGTAATGAGTTAGTTATCGCTAAATATGATACTGATGAAACTTGCTCCTTCTGTGGTTTTGTTGAAGAAACAGCTGCCCATTTATTTTGTGAACGTAATGTAACCAATAGATTTTGGACTAAATTAAGTTCTTTTGTTTTTAGCCCTACAAATATGACCCACACATTCACTCTCAAAGAGGTTATTTTTTATTATGAAAATCCAAAGTTGCTGTCCCTTGAGTATATATGTTGTTAACTTCTTTATCTTGTATGCAAAATTCTTCATCCATAAGCAAAAATGGCTTAAATCTCCCTTGAGCTTTCCTCTTTTTCCTTGCTGACTTTGCCTCTTTTATTTCGTCCCTTAGACTTATAAATAACAAGAAAAGTGAACAATCTTTGATGTATTTTGATGATTTATTCAAAGACATGACTTGACCTTATTATTATGCGTTTCTTTTTTTTAATGTATTACATAATTTGATGTATGCATACCCAGGATGTTTATTTTCTGTTAGGTATTTTTGTTTGTTTGTTTGTACACCTTGCTTAACTTCCCTGAGTTGGTAGTTATAAGTTCTGCAATAAAAAAAAAACTATGGTTACAACACAACCTCCAATAAGTGTCACAAAATTCAGAAATTATCGTACATTATGGGATTTTTTATTATTGATCGTATCGTACAGCGGTCAAAATTATCATAAAAAATACGATAATTATTGTATAGGCTATGATGTGTGAGCTAAAAAAAAAGTATGTGAGCAAAAGCCTAAAATCAATTCGTTAATTTAAATTGTTTGCCTCACTTTTTTTTTACTAAACTGCTCAAATAACTTAAAATTGGTTTTACGATCTCTTTATGAACTTTTTGAAGCATCAAATGGTAGTTGCAAAGCTGTCTTGAGGGACAGAAGGCTTAAGGTGTAAGGGCGAACTAAGAGTTTTTTAAAGACCCGCAGAAACCCTGCTTGTATGAGCCAAAATGGATAGTCTTTATGGTCGTTTTTTTTTTTTTTTTTTTTTTAACTGTCTATGTTTTTTGTTTTTTTTTCTTCTGTTTTTTTGTCTTTATGGTCGTCATGGTCGTTAGCAAGCATCCCTGAGGATCATTACGATTGAACACGCCCATGTTCTCTGTGTGCAGTTTCATTGGGAGGGGTCTAGCACCAGGCGCCATTGAATTGTTTTGCCGGTGGACACACACAGACGCAGAATCACCGACACACCGCGGCTGTGCGCAATTCAGAGAAGCAAAGCGGCCGTCGGCTCTCCCTGGATTGCATTAGTCTTAACAATCGAGTCTTTTAGTTTTTATAGACCATCTACACTAAACCGACAACATGAGTGAAATTAACGTAAAAAAGCTTAAGGTGAACGAGTTGAAGGACGAGCTCAAGAAGCGTCAGCTCTCCGACAAGGGGCTGAAGGCCGAGCTTATGGAGCGGCTGCAGGCCGCGCTCGATGCAGAGGCCCAGGCCGAAGAGGAAGACGCTGTCGCGCCAGAAGCACCTGAAGAAAAGGAGGCCGATGGGAACGGTGTTGCAGTCAAACAAGGCTGCACGGCCGAAGAGCCAGAGGGTGAGAGCATGGAAGCCGAGGAGCAAAATGGAGACAAGGGTGATGCCGCTGTTTTGGGTGATGGTCAGGACGACGAAATGGGTGAAGAGGAGGAGGAAGGGGACGCCGGCGTGGAAATGGACAAAGCCTTCGAAGAAGATGATGAAGAGGAAGACGAAGACGACGATATCATTGACAAAATTGACGATGAAGACGGTGAGCCTCAATCTCATCCATTAGAGGGTGAGCTTTTTGTGTTAAAAATGGCTTTCTAGACGCCGGGAGTATCGTGTTCACGTGCGCTTTGAAGCCGGTGAGATCATCATTTAGCATACGTGGCTAACGGCTAAACGGTGGCTATTGTGTGTAGATGGATAATGGGCTAATCCTGTCGGTTTCACTTTACTTGCTTGTTTTTCCAAGTGGTCTAACTCGGTTGAGTTTAAGATTTTGATGGTTTCTCTGTTTTTAGCCTTGTCGGTAAATCTATTTAAATCACCCGCGCGAGCCTTTTGTTGTTAGGGGTAACGTTATGTTGGTGGTTGTTTATTTCGTTACGATAAAAGGTTTATTTATATTCTAGTCTACAGATAACGTTTTTTATGCTTTATTGTACTGTTTTGGTCGGTTTAGGTAGCTTCAGAAAACTCGAATTGTCTCGCGGGAGGATCGCCTCGTTGCATGCTCATGGCGGGTCGCCCTCGCGCGGATAGAAATGTTGCTCTGCACAAAGCCTTACAGTAGACAATGCAGAAGTGCGGGGGTTACAGTGAAATAATATATTCTCGGCGGGTGATACGGTTAGGTATGTTATATAATGGCGGAAAAGTTCTTATAGCCTCCAAAGAAAGGTGCATTGTATAGTTTCGGTTCAGATTGCTAGAAGGCGCCATTTATACTTCCGCACAAGGTCAGTTCAGGAGAATGTGTTGATGTTCCCCAGTTATTTGTCATCAAAGATGTGAACATTGACTGGTTAGCCAGCTACAATAGGCTATACATATATAAAAAATGTATTTGTTTGTCAATGCATTACATATTGTAGAGAAAAGCACATAAAACACTCACATTTTTGTCTGATCTGCTTTATGCAATCAGATCAGTGCTTGCAATTTGAATCCTGAATGCCATAATGACATAACCAAGCAAAGTATTCTGTCTGATCAGAGGTGGTCGGTTCATTATGTAACTCTGAAGTCCGAGCACTCCTGTCGTGTGGGCCACCCTTAAAACCCAGGGTCCAACACGTCCGGGCATTTCATTACTGTTTGTTTTATTTTCAAAGGGGATGCGGACAAAGACATCAGTGCTGATCAGAAGAATAAGAAGGGTGTTAAGAGACGCCGAGAGGAACATGGAAGGGGCTACTTTGAATTTATTGAAGAAAGCAAATACAGCCGGTAAGGATGGAAGTAATGGCCTTCATTATCCCCGAAGTGCCACTTTTAATATATTTACATATTGGCTTTAAGTGCCAATGCCTTACCTAGAAAAATGCAACCCTCATCTACCTCTTAAAGTAAAACTTTGTTGGGGGTCATTCCTGGCTAATACAAAACACCTTACCTGCAGAAAGCTCATGAAACAATTGGAAAAAAAAAACAATGTTATTGTCACACACACTCGCGCTGTTGTCAGGCTGACTGTATGCGCGTGTGGCGATTCAGACAGCGACCAAAGGTATGACGATAGCACAAGATGCGGCTTCTGTCATGGCGGGGTGGGGGTGATGGGGCAGTGGCGTAGAGTTTGTATCGCACAGTGCATCATTACGTAATGGGGCGGTAAGGTAATGGAAATGAAGCAAATTGTTGTTTCAATCTTCAGACGTTCCTTCGTCGTTTGTTTTTTGTTTTGTTGTTGTTTTGTTTTTATATATATATATATATATAATCTAAAAGTTTAAATGCTATGTTTTTCTGTTTATGTGTATTTAGATAAAGTGTAAAGTATTGTAATAACTCTTCCTTTTAAAGTTTTTCATTTGTGGTCATCAGGTAAGTACAACCAACCATTTGCAAACTCTTGCAACTCTTCACATTGCGTTAAGAAAGCAAATATATTCATTTCTATAGTGCATGTTCTTTCTCTTAGTGTGTGGTGCTCAATTCCTGACAGAATGCATTCATTAGGAATCTTCTGTCTAGGTTAAATTCTATGTGAACTTTGGATAGAACGTTCTCAATCTGCTTTTCTTTAAGCATATAGAACAAAAAGGAAAATGTAAATGTTTTAATTTATCTTAGTTACAATGGGCCTAAAAAAAATCTCCAAAGGTGTTTGATACTTTGCGAGTCATGCTGTAGAAGCTGTTTTTTCTAGCAACCCAGTTACCAATGGCTGCCATTGGTCTATTGAAGGGATGATCTAAACAGAGCCAGCATACTTGTATATACTCAGAAATGTAAAGACTTTAATGACCCTGTCATTACAGAGCCTGAGATGGCATCTGTGGCATACTCTTACTCTTGGTTACCACAGAAAGCAATTTCAACTTCTCCTTTAGTTTGTAAATACAAATGCTGTAGAAGTCTATGAGCAAATATACTATTTTCTGTCTACATGCTTGTTTTCTTTTAACAATCTAAAACAAATACAGGATGGTTACATTTCTATTCTAGTCTTTTGAATTGTCTGTATAGTCAAAGATTGGCCAACACAGCTTTATAAACTTTAGTTTGTTCTGACCTTTCCAGAAAGATTTGCCTAGATATTATCTAAATACCCATTTAGCTTTTCAGACCATGACTTAATAAAACGAAAATTTCAACTCTGTCTTTCAATTCTCAACTATCTCTTCACGTAGCGATTTATTTCCACTTTCTATTTCACCAACAAGTTTTCTTTCAGGCTTCATCATGGGGTAAACTGGTAAGCAATGATGGCAAATTTTGCATTCATAAATGTGAATTTACAAAACAATAAGAATGTTATGAGCAGTCAGTGTAAGGTAATGCAAATCTACTGTTGGTGCTGCGGTGGCTATGAGGAAGGAGCTCACCTGGACATTGGAAGCATGCCAGTCCATCAATCCAATTTTTGTGCTTCACTCGTGGAATTAATGGCTTATTGCCTCTATTTCAGGGCTAAGTCCCCCCTGCCACCTCTGGAGGAAGAGGATGAAGAGTTTGACGACACACTGGTCTGCCTGGATCCCTGTAAGTGCTTTAAGGAATGAGTCCAGTATTCTCAAGCATACTTATTAAATGATACAACGTTTTCTTAAAAAAATATCAATGCAAACCATTTTATAGTTTTACCTTGTGTAGTTTTTTTAGTTTTTCTTTTATATTTTAATTTGTTACTCACCATAAAATTAGCCAAGGAAGCTGGCATGGTGTTAAAACATTAACCAACCATCTTTATATGTTAAGAAGCTCACTGACCAGTATTGTAGAACTGATATAAACTATGTAAAGTTGCTGTTCTTGGACTAACAAACAATTTTCGATGTCTCCGTAGACAATTGTGACCTTCATTTCAAAGTCTCCCGAGACCGATACAGCGCCTCGTCCCTCACCATGGAGAGTTTTGCTTACCTTTGGGCAGGTGGACGTGCCTCCTATGGCGTAAACAAGGGCAAAGCCTGCTTTGAAATGAAGGTGAGCACTGTGGCATTTTTATGTAACGGGATGAGGAAGTGATGAATTTTGGATCGGTACGTTATTCGTTATTTGTCTTCTGCATTTACAGATCATTGAGAAAATCCCAGTCAAGCATTTAAACAGTAAAAACATGGACTTTCATGATGTCCATATTGGCTGGTCCCTGGCTAATGGAAGTCTTTTGCTGGGTAAGTTACTCTTAACATGGTCCCTATGTGGCTACAATGTATGATTGTGCAGCTATATTTAATTTTTTCAAACACTTTCGACTGTTATATTACTGTTCTAGGTGAGGAGGAGCATTCCTACTCTTATTCGGGCAAAGGGAAGAAGACTTCAAACTATGTGACTGAAGACTACGGGGAGAGTTTTGATGAAAATGATGTCATCGGCTGCTTCATTGTAAGGCCTGGAGTTCACAGCTCTCTTTCACAGCAGTTATGTACTTTGTTGTAATTTTGTTCTTTATCTCACTTAGAATTTTGAAGCTGATGAAGTGGAGATTTCATTTTCCAAAAATGGCAAGGACCTGGATGTGGCTTTCAAGGTCAACAAGGAGTCCTTGGCCGGACAAACTCTGTTCCCCCATGTTCTTTGCCACAACTGTGCTGTTGAGTTCAATTTCGGTCAGAACGAGACGCCATTCTTCCCTCAGGTGGAGGGCTTCACCTTCCTGCAGCAAATTCCTGTGGATGTGCGTATGAGAGGACCCAAGGGACCTGAGACCAAGAAAGATTGCGAGGTACTAACCTCATAAAAGTTTTAGATAAAAAAAAACAAAAAAATGTTTTATTCATCAACTGAAGAACTGTATCACAGTTCATATTAGATTGTTTTCTGTTGTTATTTTAAATTGTAATGTATTTTAGTAACATTATTACTAATAATAATTAATGTTTTTATTTGTATTATTTATTTAATTTTGCTCCAAGATATATTAAAATAGAAAGAAAAATATTTAAAATGGTTCTTCACAATACTAATGTTATTTCAGTTTTTGGTCAAATAAATTCAACCTTGATGAGAATAAGAGACCTCTTTTAAAACATTTTGAACTCAAGTGTAAAAAAACAAACACCTATGAATGTGACAGTGGTTAATATATGTTGTGCATTCATTGGTGATATGATTATCACTGTTGTTTTCAAGGTGATTGTCATGGTCGGCCTTCCTGGATCTGGAAAAACTACTTGGGTAAAGAAACACGTTGAAGAGAACCCTGGGAAGTTCAACATCCTCAGCACCAACACTATTTTGGAGAAGATGATGGTGAGTGTGTATTTTTACATTTTTATCCAGTCTTTCTTAATTTCTGTCTTATTTTTTCATCTAATCTCCTTTTTTGGACTTGCAGATTGACAGCATGAAGAGGCAAAATAAAGACACCACAAAGCTCTCGGCCATCTCTCAGCGTGCTCCTTTGTTCCTGGGCAAGTTTATTGAAATTGCTGCCCGCAAAAAGAGAAACTATATTTTGGATCAGACTAATGTCTCTGCACCAGCCCAGAGAAGGAAGATGTGTCTGTTTGCTGGCTTCCAACGCAAAGCTGTAGTGATCTTCCCTACAGACGAGGCCCTTAAAGAGAGAGCTCAGAAGAAAGCGGAAACCGACGGCAAAGATGTACCCGAGCACGCCGTTCTAAAAATGAAAGGTAAGATGTGATGTGTTATTTCCCCATTGCAAATCCAACCTGGTACGTAAACAAGGAATATAAAATGTTTGTGGTATTTTTTTTTACCTCTTTACAGGCATCTATACATTGCCAGAAGTAGGAGACTGCTTCTCAGAGGTCACCTATGTGGAACTGCAGAAGGAGGAGGCCGTCAAGCTCTTGGAGCAGTACAAGGAAGAGAGTAAGAGTGCTTTGCCACCAGAGAAGAAAGCCAACCAGGGTACCTTGACCCCCAGAAAGGGCGGTGGACGAGGCAGAGGGCCTAAGAACCAGTTCAGTAGGGGTGGTGGTCCAGGACCACGTGGAGGCAGAGGAGGATTCCAGCCCCGTGGAAACTTTAGAGGATGTAAGGGGCTTTTTGTGCACTAATACAGAACTTTTGTACGAGGTGCTCTTCAGTGAGCTACCATTGAATCAGTTAACATGAGGTCTATTTATAATTGAAATATTTTTTTTTTCCTATCAGTACCAGTACCACCTCGTGTTGGCGGTTTTAATCGTCACCCACGCGGCTACATGCCCCCTCCACCACCACCACCTATCTTCCGAGGCGGGTTCCATAGTCGAGGCAACTTCAGCAGAGGTGGAGGCGGTGGGATGCCCAGCCGGGGAATGTCTCCCAGGGGTGGCCACATGAGGGGCGGGCACATGAGAGGCAACATGGGCAGCAGAGGTGGAGCGATGAGCCGTGGAGGGCCTGGAAACAGAGGAAACATGCAACGCGGCGGTGGACCCAACAACAGAGGACAGTTCCAGCAGGTTAGTTACCAAATACACTATTATTCAAAAAAAAATCTATCAACAATATTCTGACCACGGCTGCATTTATTTGATTGAAATTAGTCGAAACCGTACTGTTTAGAAATATTGATGCATTTTATAATAATCATTTTCTCTGTTTTAATATAATTAATTCAATATATTTGTTCATGTCATGCCAAAGCTGAGTTTGTCACATGATCCCTAAACAATCATTCTAATATGCTAAATGTATATAGATAAAACATATAAACAGTGTTCTTTGCAAAATATCCAGTCTTTACTGGCACATAATTTAATGTATGCAATTCAATGTAACATTAATTTCTTGAGGAAATTTACTGACCACAACCTTTAGAATTGTACATCCTTATAAACCTCAATTTGATGGACTTTGACAATGGGAGTAATTTCGAATTTTCCCATTTTTAGAAGTTCCGCGGCAGAGGCGGCCACCAGCAGAATCGTGGGGGTTTTGGCAACAAAAACGGTTCTTTTGCCCAAAACTTTAATCAGAGTTGGCAACAAGGGGTGAGTAAAGTTATGTATATTGTTGTGAAAGCTAACATTTGATTGGGTCACAAATGAGTCGTACATTTTATACTCCTCCAATGAGAAATCCAACAACATATTGGCAATAGTTTCCAAAATATTTTACAACAAAATCAAATTGTAGTCCATTTGACTGATAAACTTTCTTTGACCCCTTAGTTCTGGAGCCAGAAGCCATGGAATCAACAGTACCACCCAGGATATTACTAAGTGCACATTTGTATTAAAGACTCATGGCCTCTGTTGCACGGAGATGCACAGCCACAGAATATCCATCCACTTTTATGGTCCTCGTTTATTGTAATTTTTTAAGGAAGTCCATTTTTAAATGAGAAGCAAGTGGCAAACAAACATTCCGCCTCAGAACTAAACAGTCTACGTTCTACATAGATGTGTGACATCTTCACTCTCAGATTTTTGTAAAATGTATTTCCTCCCCCCTTTTTTGTATCACAGCTTTGATATTGTTATATCAGGAATCACTGCATGTCTTGCTTTGAATTTCAGGGTTGTGAATTTTATTCTGTAAAATGTCATTTTTACTCATTGTAAATTATTTTATTATTTTAATTTTTTTTTTTTGCGCAAGTTGTAGTGTTAAAAAAAAATCCCTGTGAACCTTAATATTTTCAAAACTTTTGTCAATAATCATTCATATTTACTCAGCAACTTTTCATGTTCAGTCGAGGAGGGAAAATATTGTTCTCTGTTTACTATTTGCATTTTCAAGTTTTTCTTTGTTAGCCCAGACTGTAACAGTAACTTCATAGGTTTGCAATAAAATATGTGCTTGCTTTTCTATGACTTTTTATGGCTTTTGACTGATATCTTGAACAATACATTTAAAAAAAGCCTTTGAATGTCAATCAGATTTGTCTCTTTATTCAGCACCGTAAGACCTTTCACTGTCTTCCTGTCTCGTACGGTGGAAATATTTGTAAATCGATTTAGTTAATGTGACTTTTTAAATGCACTGCATAGTTTCAAAAGTAAATTTATGCATTTGTATCATGTGAGAAGCCATGATAAAACATTGATCTTATTTACACAAATCAACGTTTTAACAACAACTTCAAATATATATTGTAGGTTAAGCTTACTAATACTTCTGAGTAATATTTTTTTTGGCAACACACTTGTTCTGCAAAATCTAACGTGAATAACCATTAGATGGATCTATTTGATAATGCATCACTCCTTTTTCTGGTCCATAATTTGACCGTTTTATTACAGGATACAATGCTTCCGTTGGGATTGACTGGGCAAACAGTGGCCTTGATGACAATGGTTTTGGATATAACAGCCAGCACATAAGAAAGTTCTCTTCTTAAATACATTATAAATGTTACATAGAGCAAGCAATGAAATACTGCAGAGTTGGAAGTCATATCAGAATTTTCTAACTGATAAAGATTTTCTCAATTTAAATTACCTGCATTTTGATACTCAATCAGACCACATTTCACACACCCCATGAACGCATCCTGTTTTTCATCAAGACATGCCCTTGTTTCAATGAATATATTTCTTAAAAAGTGCCAAATAAAAAGGGCAGCTATTTTTGACTTAATGATGTAATAGTCAAGTGGATTTTTAAAAAAACTGTGTACCATATATATTGATGTAAAAGTGTTTTGGTTTTTTTTGTTTTTCTTGAAACGATTTCATGTGGGATAAAATATAGACCCTGTCCCTTATAAAAGTAGTGCATATAGCATGGCATGAGAGATTTGCGTCGATTACTACGTAGTCCTTGCTTGTGCTTTTTTGAGGACGAATTTGTTTAAATTTTACTTAAAATGTGGCATTATGTGGTTAGAGATGGCAGGTGGTATGGTTTATGATGTTTGTATCTTGGCATTGTTTTTTATTTTTCAACGAGATGAATGTTAAAGTGTTTCATATTGTAAGGAAATGTGTCATTAAATAATGTAAGAAACGTCGGAAATGAATCGTGTTTTGTTCTCTAATGTAAAGTGTTTCTCTTAATATCACTTAGTAGCCTATAGTTAAATAGTTACTGTGGGAACTACTTAATGCCATGAAATGACTTAAGAAATTACCTAGATTCTTAAATCTTATTTGATTGATGAAAACTTGTTTTGATTGATATTTTTTTATGATTACCACCATACTTTTTGTATGTATCATCTGAGCCCTTACGCTATTAGGCCTTTAACACTTTGACACTTAGCCCCTTTTTAAACTACAAATTGTTCTGTTTAATAAGTGATTGTGTAGAGTAAACAAATATATAACTGCCTTGTGTAGTAGGCTATTTACGTCTGCTCTCCATGTGGCCATCTGCAAACACTGGAATATGCAAAGGTTTATTTGGTTTAAGATGAGGAAAAGGTCACTAAAAGAGTAGAGGTTTCAATGAAAAATAGTTTAATTTATATTCAGTCAAAGTGACATATACAACAAACCCATTCTATTTACTGCTCAAAATATAACATCTACAACTCAATCTCAGTTCATATGGCATCATATACAAATGCAAAAATAAATGCATATCAATTTAGCAATATTTACAAATTTATACAAAGTGCTTAAGGTATGTCATGAAGGCTAAGTTGCCAACACCCTTTCTTAGCCAGCCTATAACAAAGTACAGTGCGTCATCGCGATGACTGAGGTCGATGGCAAATGGCATATTCATACAACTGAAATATTATCCATTGCGCATCCACATTGTTCAACAATCATGTTTGGGAATTCAGCCACCTCAATTTCAGTATAATCTCCCTTTTTCACTAAATACATCATCGGTAGCGGCGCGCTCTCCACAACTACGCACTTTCTCTCTCCGTAGCCGTAGTTGCGCTTGGGCTGCCGGCAGCCGCCGTTGCACCGGAACGCCTGATACCCAGACGGTTCGATGATCCAGTACTGGGTCCAAGTCAAGGCTCGGAAATTGATGAAGTATTTTTCCCTGCAGCACCTTTCACTGTCTTTGTTGGTTTCACAGTCTCCACTAGACCTGCAACGGGAACAATAAAATAATATTAACACATTGTTGAGCGTTTTAAATGAAACACATCCGTTTTATTTTCAAGAAATTAATTCAGGGAGGTTTTTACAGACAATGCTATAGGCTACAGAAATCGCATGTAAAAAATATTTAATTATAATAAAAATAGGACAATTCTTTTGACTATTTGACAATTTTGAAAAATCCCGCAAGAATTAACACTGAAATTATTTATTGCTAGCTCTATGTATAAAATATTTATATAAAAAGTAGGTCTATTTATTTACACTAGCCTATGTAAATGAAGCAAATTAGCCAAATAGGCTACTTTTTATTTAAAAAAATAATAATAGTTTGTTTTATCTTTAAAACTAGAATACTTTTTCACAAGGTGTAGCCAGAAGGGAGTAGCTAATACGAAGAAGACCCACTCCAGAAATTAAGCAAGGCTTACCCAAATTCTTCGAGGTTGAGGGTGTAAAGAACAAGCTCAGGTTTTCCCAGAGTGTTGTCGTTTGCATCTTGAGTTGTGAAGTGGACACACTTGGCCATCTCTGCCGCGTAACTGCCGGGTCTCTCGCCCTCGATCCACACCTCAAGGTGCATGGGCATCTCCATTCGGCTTTTCGACCAATAGTGTACTGCCTGGGTGACATCAAAGCTCTTCCAGCCGGTTTCGTGAATGGGAATCAATCTGAGGAGGTAATGGTTGTGACAATTAGCATGCATGTTCCTTAACGCCAATCAGCAGTTGAATTAGCATAATGAAGAAAGAATAATGCCCGTCTGTGTCCGTCTCTGCTTACCTGGAATCCACTAGTGAAGTTCTGTTGGACCCGTCTTCCAGAGGTTCTACCCAATAGATGCTGACCCTGGCGTTGTTGACGGGCCTGTGGCCCTTTCTCTCTGGGACGGAGCGCTTATGTGGGGCTTTCTTGAACAGTTTCAGTTCTGCCATGGTCACTTCACTGTTCTCAGGGATTCTTGATGTCATCTCAAAGACCACACGTTGACGTGTCGTGTCAGAATATACAAATTCACCAGAAATGTCTAGAATAGACGAGAGAAATTTAATTATTTATTTTCAAAAAAACAGCTTAGAATTAATTAAAGTTTTTTTTTTTTAAATTGCAGCACATTACATGTTCATTTGCATGGCACAATGTATGCACGAAATTTTAGTATTTAATGTCAGTTTACTGTTGTTTTGTTTTTTTGTCTCTAAATTTTGCATTATAGGCTATATATTCTGCATTTAAGTTAATTAAGCAAATAAATCTTACCTGCATTGCCAGGAATTCCCCTCAGGATGCCGGCTAAACTGGGAAGCGAGCGCCGTTTCCTTGCGTGGTGCAATTTCAGCATGGAAATATATTTGTTCTTAATGTGCGCTGGAATCACAAGGTTCTCCAGATCCCTTTTGTGAATTCTCGGAACTTCATTAAGTCCCAATTTGTTCAGCAGAGCCTCTTTCATGTCTTCGTGGGTGAAACCCCTCACCATCGCGAAAAGTGCTGCGCAAAGGAGGCAAGCGGAACGGATTGAGGACATCTTTTACGCGGAGGTGCAGGAGAGGTTCTGAGTCTGTACGGATGTTCTCGGTCTGAAATGAATCTGCTTTGACAGCGGCTCGTCCTTATATGCACCCGTTAGGGTGGGGTAGGGGGGGTTACTGACATCAGAGGGAAGCTGAATAGGTGATACATGAAAGCCACGATTCATCGGAGAAATTAACGCAAAATGCACAACTTAAAACTAGAATGATAATTCAAATAACCAATTGTTATAGGAACAAAAATTAGATAGATAGATAGATAGATAGATAGATAGATAGATAGATAGATAGATAGATAGATAGATAGATAGATAGACTATGTATATATTTACAGACATAGCCTACTATACAGACATAGATAGATAGATAGATAGATAGATAGATAGATAGATAGATAGATAGATAGATAGATAGATAGATAGATAGATTAGATAGATAGATAGATAGATAGATAGATAGATAGACAGACTATGTATAATATTTACAGACATAGCCTACTATATATACAGATAGATAGATAGATAGATAGATAGATAGATAGATAGACAAACAGATGGATATGTATTTTTAACATCATGCAATTTAACAAAACATGTCACAAGTAATATTTTTTTGCAATTCAATTAACATAATTATGTGTGAATGTAGACTTGCTCTACTTGCATTTTATGTTATCTGCATTGCTGACATACAATGTTCTTGTTGTGTGGATTTACCGATGACCTTCCAGACATGGTGAACCTAGAACGCTCCCTCCTTTCCAGTTTGCATGTGCACGTTGATGTAGCACCCTTGTTCGTCATGTGTACATTCCCCTGGACATTGTAAAACATTCCTAGTCTGGCAAGAGTCTGTCAGTATAGAGTTTTCAGTCCCTCTGTTTAAGTACCATTCTGATCACCCTCGCTGTGGTCCCATCATCGTTGGGTGGGCTGGGGGATTAGATGTTTATTCGAAGACCACCATCCTTCAGTTTGATGCACAGATTAAAATTATTAGGCAAACAGACTGTTTAATCCAGGGCTGCAGTATAGGATGTGGATTGGGAGGCTCTTCACAGGTTGGTGATTATCTGATTCCATTGCCAGATTTGCCATTCCTTGTTTGGTCACACTAACATTAGAAGAGGGGCTAGTGGCACTGAGGGCCCAGTGTCTAAGTATGTGTATTGGCCCCTCTATTTGCTCTAAGATGTCAGACAGACTAAAGGAGCTCACAGGAAGAACAGATGACAAATGACTGGCTGGAGATGGAGGCAAATTAATGCAATACAAATGCAGAACCAGACAAAAGAGCTCACTGTTTGAGCCCAGAGGGTAACCGTATCTGCTGCAAGAAATCATTAAGTTGTCATCTGTTAATATTTGTCCTATTCAACAACAACAACAACAACAACAAAAAAGTAAACTAGATACAGGTATGTTTCTCTAAATAGTTTGGAAACAGTTTGTTTGAACATCTGGTAATAAGTCTGGAATATGAAATGTGAATAAATATAGGTGGCTATATAATATAAAAAAATGGCTATATTCAAATTAAATAGTTTATTCTTAAAGTCATGTTAGTTTGATGTGAAATGAATGGCCAAAAATCCGCAGTCTAGGGGCCTGCATGACTCATTTTGTAGGCTACAATACACATGGTGCATGAGTAAACTGAAGTCCACGGATCCTTGTGTGATTACTGTCAGTCTTCTGTCCTTCCTTGTCGATTATTTTGAGGCCCTTTTGTCAATAGAAGTACAATCTAATTCTCACAGGTAGTATATCCTTAATCAAAGGATGGAGGTACGCGTCAATCAACAAAACATGTGCTAATTAACACCTCTCTACTACATACGAAAAAGAGCACTATTCAAACGGATCCCGCCTCGGTTTGATAAAACAACAAACATTTTACAGCGACGTCATAAGGTAGGCTAACGACGTTGAAAATTCGTCAGAAATATCGTAAAAATGCATATCCTATACAGGATACATATAGTTTTTCTTTTCTTTTATTTAAATGTGCTTAAGGATGTTTATTGTTTAAAAGTTCTCATGGTCAGAAATTGAATAAATTAATTGAATGAATGTTAACTTCCTGTTCAACATTCCCTACATCCGCAGTTTGGTTCTAACATCAAATGTTTTGACATGAAAGACACTATTAGCACCTTATTAGGTTTGGTGTGGCAATTGTCAGATTCAGATTTATTGAAGAATGTTTATGAAATACGCCACCTTGAGAAAAGGAGATGTCACGTTCTCAAACGTCAAACGCTTACACGTGAACAGCTGTGCTTTGACATTTTCGTTTGATGTGACAAAATATGTTTTGCTACTCTATCGAACTAAACAGCTTGTTTATAAAAGACATAGGCCTTATATTTAAAAAGTGACATATCGCCTATATTATATTTTATTTTTAAAATT